CTCGAGCTGGGAATCATGCGCACGCGCCTGAACCTGGATTGAACTCTAAGCCCTGATTTTGGCGCCAACGCCTTGGCCAGCAGCCGCAAAGTTTCCAAGTCCTCAGGTACATCTGACATCTGGCTCGCGACATGTGCCGAGCACGTACCATCAACGACACATGCGACAACTCCAATCTGCTGTGCATTGCTGCATTGCTGCGCTCCTCCAGGATGTTGCTCGCCTTGTTGGTAATGACAACGAGGTTCAAGGCCTCCATGGGTTGGTAGACGTAGCGGACGGACCTTATCGCCGAGCGTTTGCCCAGAACGGCTTCTCCACCATCCCACTCAAGCAAAGCACGCTGTTTCGTATCGCTGCCCCCTACCACCAGCATGGTAACTGTCTGCTTCGACTGGTCAGGAGCATGTCCGAAGCTCAGCCGCCTGCTCCGTCTCGACCTGGCCGCGTGTCAGCGCAGGGAAAGGCTTGCGGGATCCGAGGGCCACAGACCGTGGGCTTTGGCGGCCAGGGCCCGGGCGAAGGTGTGGTCCTTGCCGCTGTCGACCAGCTTTGTGAAAGCTCCCAGCAAGCCCTGGCTGCACATAGACCTCTCCCACAGAGCCCTTTCACTTCGTCCCTGCCTCGATCCGGAGCCGAGTCATCTCCACAAACTGCCCTGGCATTGCACATGACTCACATGACTGCGCATGGCAAGCAGAGGTTGGCTGGAATCGCGCTGCGTCCCCAACATGGCTGGGCTCACGTGCTACCAACGTCTTGTCCTTCTTCACGATGGCAGCTGATAGCACCACCATGATCCCTGCAACGGCAGGACTCGCAAGCTTGGCATGCAGACAACAAGCAGCATCGCATGCTGGCTTTCCGTCTCAGAATTCATTAACTGCTCAGTGCAACAGCGGCAGGCGGCAGCGGAAGCGGCTGCCCGCCTACGAGGCACCGGAGCCTGGCACACAGGCAAAGCGTGCATGGGTTGACAAAAGCACGAACATCTCAGCGACCCGGACTCTTAAACTGAAACCATCTTCGATTATCGGGACCTTCAGTGTGAGATAGTGTGAGAACCCCTGGACTGATCTCACATGCCATCAACCGCACCCCATCATTCCAACACCATTCAAGAACATGCAAGCAGTCATTCCCTGAAGGTTGACTCTTGGAGGATTCGGACGCTTGGAATCCAAAGCGGTCATGCCTGCGCCTGCAGCGCAGCAGACCCCTGTGCCCAACCGAAAAGATGCCCCTCAGGGACTTGAAGCCAGCGCAGCGAGCAAAGCATCCCGTCGTGCCATATCGTGCCCATGACAGGTCTTCAGCTTCACCTACGATGAGAGGCAACTACAGCCTCGTAGCGGTGATTGAGTGACACCCCAAGGCAGGCCTGACCGAATTCCTGAGCCGGCCAGCTCGCATTTTTTTTCGGAGCTTCAAGCTTTGTCAAAGCATCCTGGGTCCAGGGTGGCACTTTGTCCACAAAAAGTTTGGGAAAGGCTGCACTTTCCGGCGCCTTCAACTTGTACAGGCATGGGGCGAAGAGGGCCCGGCCAGCTTTTCCCAGACATCATTAGCTCATTAGCAACATCTCAACAAGACTCAACAAGAGCACGCAGCGATACGCAGTGTCTAGCGATAGCCAAGGCGACGTTCGAGCTCGGCCACCTGACCGCAAAAATAGCATAACATAAACGAAGGTAACTCTCGCGACAACGGACCACCGAGTTGATTTCACACAGCGCTGCGCGACCTCGGCCTCCAGTGCTGTCGTCTCGACACGCAGACCTGCCAACAATGCGGTGCGAGCCGAAAGAGGCCACAACATGCTGGGAAATCCATGGAAAGGCAAGATGTCAATGCGAGTTTCATCCGGGTGCAGAGCTCTGCCTTCACTGGGGCCAACCCCTGCGGCTGCAGAAAACACTGCCTGGCTTGGACAGGTTGTAGCAGGGTCCGTAGTTCTGTTTCCGCCTTCTCCCCAGGAAACCTAAAGGACGGAAGGTGAAGGTCGAACCCCTTGCCGGTGCTTCGGGTGAAGAGGCAGGATCTTCGAACTACCAAAGCGAAACTGGATTCCATTCCTTCTCCGTACTTGTTGCGGAAACTGAGCAACATGCAACTCCTCCTCTTTGAACAGTTACACGGAAGTACGCCTCTTCTACAAGGGGAGCTTTGGAAACGCTTGAGACCCGTACCGCCGCGCGCTGCGGCGATGTGTGCAGATAACCTGCCAGGGATGCTTGAGAAGTGTGGCCCACGGGGCACCTGTGAACGACTGCAGCGTAGCACTGTGCCCCTGTGCCCCTGTCTGCCTGGGGGAATGGTCTGAACATCAACCGGTGTCAAGGCCGAGCATGCCTTGGCGTGAGAGCTGAAAAAGCAAACAGTACAGTGAAATATCACATCGATGAAGCTTGCTACAGCAGCTTGGAATGCAAACATATGCTTTCCGAGGCATCGACGATTTTGCCGCCCGGGTACTCCACGAACGGTCCCTGCAAACGTGTCACTTTGACTAACGTGGTCTCTGCTTGGTTGGCTTGGGGCATTCGTGCCTCGCATCGGCAGCGCAAGAGAAGCCGCGGAGCAAAGAACAAGCCCCCTCGTCGCCTACAGAAACAGGCGGGTGGCACATGTTCATGTCTGCAGGCATTATGACCGTAGCTTGCACAGGTTGATGCCTAGGGGAACCTTTGATTTCTTTCATTGGGCCCAGTGTACTGGAGCTTATGGTAAGAAGTGATTCCGAGTTGCATAAAAGAGCTGTATGGCCTGAATCCCTACTATCTTCACCTTGACCATCATTAACCACTGCTCCAAAAAAGAGAGTGGAACAACCAGTCAGTGTTGTGTCTGAGACAACACTAGAGTCACTAGCCATTCAACCACAAAGATGCTACGAAGATGGCCCTCTAGCAATCGAGGTGTGCTTCGGACAGTCCGTGAGCTGTTCAACTGCTCGACATTCTGCACCACGAAACCTAGCATGATCTTTTCCCGGAAACCGTGGCTTTTGTTTGAAGGGAGCCCAGTGGCGCGGGCACTCGATGCCGGAGTGCGGCTGCCTGGGTGCGGCAGACGTACCTCGAAACAAACGACCGACTCAGGCGATTCCTGACTCTGATGAGGTTTGACACATGGGTCCTTTCCGTGCCAGATAAGCCCACGAGTGCCACAACACAGCACAGGTGGGCACAAGCCGCCAGAGTGGTTCGGCCCGGCTTCGTCCCTGCGGCAGCGGCAGGGCTTCAAAGTCAGAGGCAAGCTTCGGAACCGTGCGTTTACTTCACCTGGCAAGCCTTCAGTCATCATGGGCTGGTATCGATGGCTGCGAGTGCTCATTTTTTGGAGGGGGTCAGGGCTGCTTTACTGTTTGATGTACCGCTGCAGCTTGTTTACTCTCTCAGGAAACCGCACGGACCCAATGTGCCAAACATAGTCAACTCAACCGGATGTCTGAAAATCAGAGTGAGCAGAGAAACGACTCGATAAAAAAGAAAGCCTCGGCCTAAGCCAGCTCTGTGGTTGGGGAGCGACTCACAAGAACTCGACAAGCAGAGAGAGAGAGAGAGAGCGAGCGAGCGAGGGAGGGAGGGAGAGGGAGGGAGGTAGGGAGGGAGGGAGAGGGAGGGTCTGCTGGCTGACACATGTGGCCCCACATACACTCAGATCCGCGTGTCTATGAATTTGTTGGACGCCGGTACCCGGTACTTCTCTCGCCTGATTGTCGAACCCAGCGAGTACTCCGTGCGATCTCCGGCCCAGATGCTCAGGAGGCGGTTGCCCACCTGCTCAAAGCTGCAGGGGATTACGCAAGCGTAGTCAAGTCTCTCGGGACGTTCATTGTGCTTAGTTGTTTCCTGCTACCAAGCTGCTAGGTATCCGCAAAGGGTCGGAGGACTCCCCCGCGCCTTTAAGCTCTCGCAAGCTGCTGAAGAGTTAGCTTCTGTGATCAGCAGTACTAGGGTCACTAGTCACTAGACTTTCACTAGCACCGCTTTGTGATCCACGGAAGAAGCACGCCCTCCACCTTGGCCACCACTTTGTAACCAACGCCGTTGAAGTCGCGAAGCCTGGGCTCACTCGCGGAGATGTCTCGGCCAGAACAGAGGCTAAGTTCACCTTGTGCCGAAACCTCACTAACCATCCACAGCTGAGGCCCCAAGCGAATCTCTCAGCCGGGCAGGGTTGACCCGGAAGTCCTGGGACAGGAGTCAAAGGTCTGCTCTGGTTCATGCCTCGCTTCCTAGGCTTCATCCCTGCTGCGATCCGGCTCTTCGTCGAGTGCTCTTTGACACAGCGATCCCCCACATGGGTCCTCCACATTGATAGACCAGGCAAGCAGAAGTTGCTCTGCGCCATCCATTGGGAGAAAGCGGTGAGAGCGTTGAGGAACAGAAGCCGTCTTGCTGTTTTGGAGCAAGGTGTGCCGGATGCCAGACAAGTAGCTGGGAGCTCTCCCCATTCTATTCTTCGCACAACTGTTTGCACAGTGCTTTCTGCAACAGGAAAACACCCTCAGCCGACAGACTCGGGCGGATTGGCCGCGACTGACAAGTCCAGGGCTGCATCCAAAGGCGAATACCGCAAGTTCACCAACTGACGACTGACACTCACGAACTGTGCAGATACTTAGAGGTGTGCATGCAGAATTCCACAGCAAACTGAAGTCGACATACTCCAGCACGTTTGGACGGCCGGAATAACCAACTAATCCGGTAACGACTTAACTTCACGACCAAGAACATTAAATGCAAGGCATCGTTGCAGCTGCCCACGTGCCCTGTCACCCTCTGCAAAACCTGACAGTCTTGCAAGAACTGCGGCCATGTTAATCCGCCGCAGACACGGTACGTTCCTCTCAGGAGCTTTTCCAGACCCTAGAAAACCCTCTGTACAGATTTGATACAATCAATGGCTCTAAAATGCAACAGGTCCATCAAGGCATGAAGCTTCAGAACTTGAGAAAAATGCTCCACGAGGTTCGCAGAAACGTAGAGGAGAAATCACCTGGCACTGGCAAAACGAAGGGATCCTCCACACGGCGGCACGGCATTGTGCATATTGTGCCAGATGCCAGAGGCTGTGCGAAGCTCAGCTTGGCCAAAGTCTCAGGCTCTTCTTGACGCTTTGTGGCTCGAGTTGTCTGTCTCTGTCTCTGGGCCAGAAGGCCCCCAAACCTCCCAGACCTCCCCAAGGCCCCTTCTTGAATTAGAGTCTCCGAGCGGCTTCGCGTACTTGTTCTTGGCCAGGGAGTAGATCAGAGTGCCTCCGCCGCTCCGCTATGCCACGACCCAGCGCGCCCCAAGGGCATCCCTTATAGTCCCATCCCTCAGGCCCTTCCCTTCCCTTTCCCTTCTTGCCAGGCCTAGGATGGCGATGCTGCTGCCCAGGACGCCAAGGCCCGTCACCGGATTCCGGAAGACGAAGATCGCAGTGATGATGATCACTACCTGAGATGCGGAATGATGCGGATATGTGCAGATATGCCTGGATGCCCGGTCCGTCCGCATCTCCTCGTGCTCTGCAGTTCTAGATTCTAGCTCGAGCACCGAGCACCCTCAATAGAGCGATAGGGCGGCCGGATGGGGTAGGAAACTCTTACTTTGTGGGAAGCCGACCATGAGCTGACCGACTGGGTCCACCCCAGCACTCGTGACCACGTACACCCAAGCTACTTCTTCCCTTCCGCCAGCATTCCGCTTCACGGCCCTAGGCCCTAGGCAGAGCACACGTGACGCATCCCCCTTGATCCAACTTCCCTGAGGCTTCCGGCTCGCTTCATGGTGTTGCACACGGCGTGGGACCTGAGCTGTCCCGGAGTGAGAGAGTCTCGTGCAGAAGGAAAGAGGCTAAGCAGAGAAGCATCTACTGGTAGCATCCGACGAAGCCCAAAATCCTCAGGCCTCTGAGAGTTAATTGAGCCCGGTCACACTGGGTCCAGTTTGCCCAACGCGAGGAAAGCTACCTCGTTGTACATGTAGTAGTAGAAGCCACCTTGGCAAGGACGGGCCGTGGCTTCGCTCATCTGCCCAAACCATGACTTCGGCATCAGAAAACGGGCGGTGAAACACTACTGTATCGCTGAGATGACTTGGTCTGCCTTGCCAAGCCAAGCCGCTAAGGATCATCCTGGGAGCAGGGACGCTTGGATCCGCACTGGCACACAGCTTCTGCTACACCAAAGACCCTGCGTGAAACCATGATTCTCGTGGTGTGCGCTGTGGCCTTCTGTCTTCCACTCACTGTCAGGTCAGCTTCTCGAAACAGCTTCAAGTCTGAATAGTGCAAGTCAGTCGGATGTATGCAAAATTGCTGCCAGGCTTCTGCCACATGAAGGACATGCCTCCTGCGGAGTAAGCAATCTTGAAGCCCTTCAGCATGGCCTGAGGTTGCTGCACTTAGTGAGTTTCTGACAAGATCACAAGGCCACACATGGCATTCTCGAAGCAAAAACGCAGTGGGCCGAGTGGAACAAAGCAGGCCCCAATGACCAACAAAGGGTGAAGGCTGCGCGTTCCAAGGAGCGCTTGGCCCCTCAATGAAGAGGGAAATTGGGATCAGCATGAAGGTCGCCATGATGGTCAGAACCTCAGGTTGCCATGGAGTTTACAGTACCTCTGAGTCATCATCAAAGAGCCAACATGCTGGCGGCTATCTACAAGTTCATCTGGCTACGAGGCACATTGGTCCACACGACCTCTGGATCAACGTGTACGGCAACAGTAGCCCTGATGCTTGTTGGTCAGCCCATGTAGGGACTGCAACTGCAAGAGCACCAGGAGATTTGCGCAGTGTGCTGCATCACTTCATCTGAGTGCTCGGCTGCGTAGACATTCGCTGAGTCCATGTTCTCACCTCGTGGCTGTAATGACTTCTGCCTTCGAAAAAGGCACTCAGCGACTCAGCCCACGTCTTACCAGCCACTGAGCCCTTTGCCAATGTCGCCCCCGCTCATGACCTGCCGCTACGAAGCTTGTGCCGTACGGCGGACATCAGAAGTTCGCACCCGCTTTGCGCACCTTCTTGCTGTAGACTGCACGGGAAGCAGATCCCAAGTTCGAGCCCATAGCGGCCCCGAAGCACAGCCTCAGATGCTAAGGTCTCGAGGTTCCTCGACCAGTCTGGCAGGGAGGGCTTTCATCAGCGGAAGTCCGAAACCTCCTGGCTCCAACACCTGACCCCGACATCAAAGCACACCAGTAGGGAGGCAATCAAAGTGATTTCCTAGCGTCTTGCTGCGCAAGCTGCCAATTGAAGGACAGCTCCGAAGCGCTTGCCAGGCCAACACCACCGATAATGGGAAGCCTCGGCTGTAGGAATTTAGCATGGTCTCTGTCTGTCTTTCCTTTATATGTCTCGGTCTGGTGGCATGTCTGCGGACATATCTCTGGCCCGGTATGAGAATGACCACCACGGAAAGCCAGGTTCAGTCAAACCGCAAGCCGTGCAAAAAAATGAGGCCCTAACGAAAGCCACTGATATTCCCGAGCCCTCAACCCGACCGTAAATCCCTAACTCCGCGTGCAGACACACACACACACACATACACACATACACACATACACACACTAGCAGTTGCTGATGGGTTTACTGTCGCCGAAGCCACACGCTGCCGTACCCAATGGCTTCGAACTACCAACTCCTGTAGACTGGCATTCTCATGCTCCGCAATGGCAAAGGTGACACACACACACACGTGCGCGATCGTGCGCGCGTGACGTGCATCAACAGCCAAGCTCAGCCAAAGTATACTGAATTGCAACTTTCCGAACCGACATGTCAAGCCCAAAACCCCGAACCCTGGCAAAGCCCGATAACCTGCTAAGTGATATCGTAGCATCTAAGTTGGTTGGCTCCGTCGCCTCTTATCGAAACGTCCGTGCCGACATGCACGAGTGCGTGGGTAAAGAGAGCATGGCCTTATGGGATGAAAACGCTACGAAGCTTTGCCAACGTGTAAAACGATCCGAAAATGTGAATACGAACATGAACAATCACTCTTGTTTGCCGTTTTCGGCCTCAGTTCCAGCCTTCACGTTCCCACAGCTCGGCACTGCTGACCAAACGACGAGAAGTTGGCAGGTGCATTTCAGTAGCCAGGACTTGACGGATCGTGGCTCCAGGCGCCAGCAATCCGATCTTTTAATGTAGGGTTTTGCTAGCAGCGAATCGAGAAGTTCATCATTTTTGCTTGTTTGCAAAGCTAACATGCAATATACTTTTGGCTTCGGTTTGATTCAACAAGCTGACCATCACACAGCTGTGAGCATCACCGCACTAGGCGCTGCCCCAATGCGACCCACAAAGGCAAAAGGCGACTTACCCAAGTAGACGCCTTTGAAAGCACAAGGCAACCCATGCGTCTAAAACACGAACCAGGAAAAACCAATCCCCGCGGTGACACTCATGCCAGGCTTTTTTGCAACATACAGGGCGAGCGCCCTGAGTCACCGCAACCCCCGCCAAAGTCAGCCGACTGCAAAGCGACGCGTCGATCGCCGAAAAGCACCCCAGACCCACGAAAAAGGCACCCCATGCAAAATGAATCCCCCGCTTGCACCGAGACAAGGCAATGTGTGCGTCGCGCAGGGCATTGCAAAAGTCTCTCGGTTGAAGCATCAACCAGTCTGAATTACCAAGTCTACGCCTCGATTTCGCCAGCCACACAGAACAACAAGAAACAGGCATTCCCCGTACTGTCAAGCGGCAGAGTCGTGCATTTGCTTGGTTTGTGCTTTCCACACAGGTGGCGCATGCCAGGAGTCGCAGCAAACTGTATTTCCATAAAAAACCCACTCAACTCTGGATTTTTCTAAAAGCCTATTCAAACCTGTATTTCTCTAAACACCTAAAACCAACCTTGTATTTCTATTTCTTTCGAAAACCTACTCCATTCCGTATTTCTTTAGGACCTAGGCAACTTTGTATTTCCCCCCAAAAGCTATTCAACATTATTCAGCTCTATAACCTATTCACAACCCGATTGACGCCCAAACCCGCGTACCGAGTGTTGACTTTCGAAAGCAGCTGCATATTGTGCCCATTTTGCTCTCGCATCACCTCGTTTAATCACATTAGCAATAGCGAAACCCCACGCGCAGATGGCCCGGAGGTGGGTTTCAACATGTTTCAACACATGCAGCGAAATCAGCAAGAATGTCTGCGTATCTTGGCATTCGAGCTCCGTGTGCACATTCCACAAGCACCCGTTCGAGACTCAGGGCCTGCACCCGGTACCATTGCAATCGCAAACAGCAGCTGCACACGGCTGAAATATGTCGTTTACAAGCATGTCCGAGGATCCCGGGTGCTCGTCCAGGGCTTAGGGCTTAAACCTTGGGATGTCGAGTTGAAAGGCTGACCACTTCGCCGCTGAAACACAAGTATCAGGAATACGTCACTGCTAGAAGAGCTATGTTGTTGATTTTTTGAACGGGTGGTGGCCCAAAGACGCAGCGGACGGATCAGCCGCGCCGAACGAATTCAACAGTTAACTTGAACTCAAATTACCAAGAATCGTGCCAAGAATTGCCAAGATAACACAGCAGAAGCCGCAGCTTCCATTGTGTGGTACGGCACATATCCCTGGATCTCGTCCGCGCGGCAAGGCCCCCATTGGCTAGCTGTACGTAAGAGTCGGGTCGCACTGCAAAAACTTTCATCAAAAAGACCTGCATGTATGTTCTTCAAATGCACACAAAGCATGTTCAAATCCAAATTTTTGCATATTAAGCGCAATGAGGTAGCAGCCTGACCCGTGGCACTCGTGCACACCACGTCTTTGCACAGCAGAGCTCCCGGAGCCGGGGTGCCACAGTTCAGGGCTGACCCCGACAAGTACTAGCACGCCCTGGGTACCCTCGACCCAAGAAAACTGCGACGTTCCAAAAAAGGGTAACAAAATCGCTTTGATGCGTGAGCCTACTTGCAAGGCTGGTTGTCGATGGAGCCCGGCGCCGGCGGTGCCTACCGAGCTCTTTCGAGACGATCTCGAGAGGCTCCTTCCGTAAAGCGGTTCACGCCAATCTCTAGGCTCCGAAATCCTGACTTGCAGCGCCAACCCAAAGCATAGTACAGACTTTTAGCACAAACAGCACTCAGACGAATCCGGAAAGGGTGCCTGACGAGACCTCCGGGTGGTAATTAAGGGGGTGAACTAGTGGCGGAGCTGCTATACTCTTGTACTAACTGGTGGAGCCACTGCAAGCTGGCGAAGTCGTTCTTGAAGGTGTTGTTCAAGTAATGGCGGAGCCATTACCGTTGCGGCGATGCCGTAAAACTAATGGCGGCGTCGTTACAATCTAGCGGAGGCGTTACAAAGTATTAGAGCAGTTGTTGGCGGCGTCGTAAAACTAGTGGCGAGAAACGTCACAATCTAGCAAAAAACCGTTGTTGGCGGTGCCGTAAAACTAGTGCCGGAGCCGTCACAATCTAGCGCAGGCGTTATTGATCTGGCGTAGTCACTGCAATCTAGCGGAGCCGTTGTTGGAGGTGCCGTTCAACTAGTGGCGGAGCCGTTACCCTTGTGGCGGTGCCGTACAACTAATGGAGGCGCCGACACAATCTAGCGGAGGCGTTACAATCTGGCAAAGAGCCGTTGTTGGCGGTGCCGTAAAACTAGTGGCGGTGCCGTGACAGTCTAGCGGAGACGCTTCAATGTGGCGGAGCCGTTAACGGTGCCATGAAACAAATGCCGGACCTGTGGCGGAGCTGTTAATGGCGGCGCCAGATACTTTAACTGCGGAGCTGTTACAATCTGGCAGTGCCGTTCCTCTATAGCAATGCCGTACTACTAGTGGCGGAGCCGTGTGGCGATGCTGTAAAACTAGTGGCAGGGCCGCTATAATTGAGCTCTTAAACCTGGCTGGGCCGCCCAACTGGGCCGGGATTTGTCGTGCGACCACGATTTCGGAGATCAGATTGGCGAGGTGAGAAATGAGACAGACGAGGCGGGAACTAAGGACAGACGTTGGAAATCAGATTTCCGAGGTTGATTTTAAGATTCTCTCTCCCTGGGGAAATCAGCCGCAGCCAGGAAAGTAAGAGATACGAGGTCACAAATCAGATGGGGCAAGGTCAAAAATGAGACTGGAAAAATTGCGATGTTAAAATTCAGATCAGGAGGTTAGAAAAAGATACGATGTCTTAAAAAACTGCGAGGTTAAATAAAAAAAGATATGCCCAATCAATATTTCCGACCACCAGAAACTTCAGACCACTGAAGACATTCTCGGGCGAGGCATAAACTTGACTGATAAATCCTGCTTTGAGGTCGTCGGCGATTTCGAGTAAATCAGTGCTGGTGGTGGCGGTTATAGACCCAGCCCTAGCCCAACGGGCTTACTTGCCGAGCAGCAGGGAAGCGTACACTTGCCAAGGCATCACCTTGGACACGTCTCAAGGCAAACAGCAGCATGTCTGAACACAGGGAGATGAGCTTCACCCGGGCATATTACGCGAGAGCTGATGAGAGAATGTGCAATGTCGTTTCGACGCATTGGGGCGTAGCCCGCACGTTGCAATGTGGCAGGATGTTCGAGTGCCGCCCACGACGGTGCTGATTCGCTGACCTAGGACTTAGATGGCAGTATCACGCCAAAAGATCTCCAACACTTCACCGACAACGAGCCAAAGGAACAACACCTCAGAAGGAGTACTTGGGGTGCATTTGAACTACTAGTGACACTCCATGACAGCAATAACGACCGCTCCGGCCTCGATGGTTCGATGCCCTAAAAGACCCCACGCGTCCCGCCTCGCCCAGGAAGGCGAAGTTCAGGAAGGAGGAGACCACCGGCTCGGAGGCCTCCGGACTCTGTGGCGAGCGCCAGGTTCTGTATGCGATGTCTGCCCCCTACGTGGCTAAAAATCACCGTGCTTGATGGCAACAAAATGCCCGAAGGAGATCACAGACGCTGAAGTGGCCGATTGGCGAAGTCTCAATCCAGACAAGCGCCTTCACGATGTGGCCAAAGGAGACCGCCCCAGCAAAGAAGGCGATAACCTGAGACCCGGGCTGGTTTGGCGACCTGCTCCTTCGATGCCGATAAGCCTTGGGGTCCTGGCTGCACCGACGTGCGTCGCCAAGTGGCCCAGCCTTTGAGTTGCGGCATGGAGAATCACGTTACGCAGCTTAGAGCCTGTGCCGATTCTGTCGGAGACGCTTCAGGCTGGCTAAAGCGATTATGTTTTTCCGTCACTCTGTAAGGGCCTGGGAACTTCCAAACAAACCACCGGGCACCGCACGCGGAGGGCGCCAGCGTCACGGCTTGGGAGACGGTGAGCTTCGGAGTCTGCAAGGCATGGGCCAATGGGCCAGCAACGGGCAGCAAAGCTGGAGACAAGTGCGATCTGAGGCCTTGCGGATGCGCAGGATCCTTAGGCGGTGGGAATGCAGGCGGATGGAGGGAGAATCAGTGTAGGTCAACAGGCTGGGGCAAGCCCTGGTCTCAGCTGAGGCTCCAAAGAGGCACAAAGATCAGCCATCCGAAGGACATCTGCCAAAGTGCGCACGCCCAGGGGTAGGGGTACGAAATCCTTGGTCAACAGATCGGAGAACTCCCACTGGCCGGGCCGGGCCCCGGCTCGCCCCGGCTCGCCCCGGCTCGCATCGCGTCACAATGTCCGCCAGAGCACAAAGCTTTCTTGTTGTAGATGTTGTAGCCTCGGACAGCCCACAGCGAAGCGAGGCGAAGCGAGGCGGCGAGGCGGCGAGGCGGAGTGAAAAAACTGCCCACGTCTCATGCAGCCACAGCCCACAGCCGGGCACGGCATGACATGCTCATGACTCATCTGAGGCCGAGGCCAATGTTAAAGGCATACCACAACACGATGTAGACGATCACACCGAACTTGTCCTTACACGGGCTCAAGACTGGCTGTTGCGGTCAACGCCCACCGGCTCATGGGCTGAAGCTCTTCTGAGGCTAGCCAAACACAGGGCCACAAGACCAGGAAGACCTTCACACTCGGCCGTACAGGTCCAAGGCACCATGAAGCTCTTCTCCTTCTTGCTCTCTGTCGGCTCCTCTGATACGATTGAGGACATCGACAGACAGGAGCTCACGCCGAAGACATACTGCGACCACAGCTAGGACTTCTGCTCTTACTTGCAGTCTCCATCACAATCGTCATTTGCGTCCTCCTCCAACCCCCTGCTGCTGCCCTTCTCCTACTCTCCTACTCCCAGAACTGTCAACTACTACGACGGCGACCACTACAATTGCTGCCACAAATATCGATGGTTCGCTTGTACGACAAAACTCTGCACGGTGCACCTCCGCTGCAGCCTCCGACGCCTCGGAGGCTGCTCGCATGGCGACCTGTGCAATGCCCGAGCGATGCTATACTGGGAGACGGCATCGTAGTATCATTTACACCGTTCGCGTTCCCAACGGGAATGAAGAAGCAGGATACGGGTAGCAGGTTGATACTGACTGTGTTAACTATTAACTCGTGGCCAGTGCTAGTTGGGCTCAGTATGGACATGTCAACCACAATGTCAATCAAAACAATAGCAGAATTCGGACATACTTTCGTGAGCGTGAGTACCATGCTCTTGTCCTCTGCGCTACAAATAAACTCCACGGTAACTATCAGCATCTGTGAGGGCAACGAAAAAGACACAGCTCGATAAAGAAGATGATGATGAGGAGGAGGATGATGATGATGTGATGATGTGCTGATGATGATGATGATGATGATGATGGTGATGATGATGATGTGATCATGATCGTGATGGCGGTGATGGTCATGATGGTGATGGTGATGGTCATGGTGACGGTCGTGTCGTGATCGTGGTCATTGTCATGGTGATGGTGGCTATTGACTGCAACGGGGACGACGGGACATGAAGACCCCAAACAACAGCTGGAGCACTGCGCAGCCCGCCGCTGCCAAGGCCAAGGAGACCTGAGGTTCACCGGATCACCGCTATGTGCTTCCGTTGTGGCACGGCAGCCGCAAGGACTACACCCAGAGAGGTGTTCCAAAAAAGACGGGCGGAGAACACGGCAGAGGATGGATTGGGCTGATTTATCGTCGGCATTTGGGGCTTCATGCTGCTCCAGACAGCTGAAACTCGCGGGCTCTGCAAGCTCAATATTTCCTCGTTGTAGCACAGCACCAAGCACTCCCAGCTCAGCTCATAACTGCATCTGTTGCACGCGAATCATCTGGCACTTTGTCCTCACGACGCAAGCTTTCAGCATTGTGGGGAACACGGAGAACTCTGCTTACTCCGAGCTGCAACTGCACCACTCAACATTCTGAAAAGCATGGACTGACATAGGGAGGGAAAGAGCGAGAGAGAGAGAGAGAGAGAGAAAGAGAGAGAGAGACAATATGTTTTTGGATCTGACCACTACAGGCACAAAAACAACTTGCTGTGCCAGCGTCAGCACTGTTTGATGACAGAGCCTCTGTGGGTGGAGGCTTTTCCCGGGAAACAAGCCGTCGCGTCTGCGAACAAACGCATTCCAGGCCTGCGGTCGAGAAGACTGGAAGCTTCTGCCGGCAAAGTTTCCGAACCTCGGGTGAATGCGATGAAAGAAAGTATAGGAGGACATGCATCTCGACCTGGGCCCAGCAATCAGGGAAAAAACCATAGAAAGCCCGGTCTATGGATGCCCAGCGACGAGGAGGTCGGAAGAGGCTCTGCGACGCCCTGATGGGCAAGCGGAAAGAGGTTTTCTTGAGGATGTTGGAAGAGTCGGGCCTGACCTTCGAAATACCGGAATCAACTCCCGAAACTACCCTCCTCGACTGAAACTTTGCAGGCTTGAATTCCGGAAATTTCGATAAGGCAAGACTCCAGGTTCGGCCCCTGCATCCCACTGATAAGCACGCACGCTGTACAGCCTCGATGCCGGCCGTTGTCCGCGTTCGCGTGGTCGGCGGCACGGCGAAGCTTTGCTCGCCAAGCAAAACGCTTAAGGCGATGGTGAGGAGGAGGATCGCCGTGCCTTTCCAGGACTTTGCTTCCGTCTATCAAAGTCAGGAGGCAAATGTGCACAGTCACTGCGGCAGGTCACGACGCTTTTTGATGCGCAGACATGCTTCTGAACATGTTCCAGGGCTCTTAAAGATGATGCGACAACACTGCGATGACACGGGTGGAGGCTCGTTCATCCGCATGTGTTCCTCGTGTTTGCGGCCGAGCGTCCGCGAAGCGGCCTCAACCTGGGTGAGAATATGCAGCAATAAGAAGAAAAGGACGCTGCATGTCGGCTTCCAGTCATAATCAGATAGGCTGCATTCTCGGCGCAGCCATGGCCCGCAGCCGCTTTTGGGAAGAGCCTGGAGACTTTCGGGGCAAATCCACGTCGTACCATGCACTATCATGCGCACTTGCAAGCAGCGTGCGCCTCAAAATCTGGCCCTGCGAAGTGAAACTTCGACAAAAATGCGCTTTTGAGCCAATGGCACGGACCACCCGCGTCTGCTTCATGCAGCCTACTGAGCTCAGTAATAACTCAATATAATCATCTGTGTCTCCGGCACAACCCGAGCTCAAGCCCGTACCGCAACGTGAATCGAGACTTACTAGACAGCCTACGAAATCCTCAAACAAGGCTTCACAGCTTTCCAAAGCTGTTTTGCGCCAAGATCCACCATGGGGCCACCTAGCGACCTTGTGGCCTTGTCCGGAAAGCTTCAAGCTCTGCACGCGACTTGTCACCAGCACCCTGCCGTCCGGCAATCCGAGAAACAGCCCTGTAGCCCTGCACACGGTGCAAAGCTTGTTGCCCCACGCATGTTCGGCACGCTTCCTTGGGAGGGGGTCTGGCCAGGATGCGGCGGCGAGCAATTCGGCCATACGCCGTCATCCCAAACCACCAGGGAAGGGCCACAGGGCAGGGACACAGGGCAGGGATTAGGGATTGGCTGGGGTTGAAGGGATGAAGGGCCGAGGACAGAGAGTCTGCCCCGGGACTAGGTGAGGCTTCGGGCTCGGGCGCTGCTCACCAGAGGTCTAAGGCAGCACATTTTTCGTGCCTGGAAAGATCGGCTCCAGGTTGCAGCTCCGGGTCTCGAATCTCATTGGGCGTCGGCCCGTAGCTTTGAGAGACTGCAATCTGTGGCCACATGAGACATGAACCAAAATCTCGAGATCAGTGCACCACAAGGGGAGCAGCCCAAGTTCGTCGAAGTTGCGATGCAAATCATATTATGAGGCCATCAACCCTGAGATTAAGCATGTCCGAAACTAGAAGACCGGCTGAAGGACACCAGAAGTCCAGAAGCATCAACGTGAAGCTCACCTGACGCCTCCGGCACGGCAAAACTGGCCGCTCACCACCGCCTCGGGCTTCCTGTGCACTGCGGCAGCGATACTTCGGCATTTCTTGAGTTCTGGTCGCAGGTGAATGTTTTCTCCTCTATTCCACTTGTCCACTGTTCTTATGTTTGCTTTGTGCTCGCTGGCCTTGCGTCCCCCTCGCTGCGTGCTTGTATGAACCGTCCGCGTATGCATCCCATGAAGGCAAGCGCAAACCCACGGCCAAGACATGCATGGGTGTGTGTGTGTGTGACCATGCCGTTCGCATCTGTTTGCGATGCACGCCTTTCAGTGGCAACGCATACAGGCCTGATGTCGACATGGCCTCAAGCGTCTAATGAATACTACAGGTCGGTCACAGAAATTCAGATAGATGGAAAGGTTGCTTTTCAAGTTTTCACTGGAAACAAGAACCGCCATAAACGAGACCTGACAAGCATGGCAGGAGCACGGCTGCGCCCTCGGCTGCCGCCCCCCTCGGCTCACTGCCAACAGCACTTCCAACAAACTTCGACGGTGCTCTGGCTGACACAAAACAGCTGTCACCGAAGCGGGTCTAGGACAGTCTCTGTCTGCTGGGCCCTGGACGTAGCTGCCCCAGCCGCCTCCCGGTCATGGAACATGTTTAAGAAGCTGTAGCAAACATGCCCAGTGGCCAGCCTCCACCACCACCACCGCCACCGCCTTTCCAGCTGTCACCTCCCCGGCGAACGCCCGGCTTGGCAACATGGACTGTTCATCATGTCTTCGACCCGAGGCACAAGTTTTGCAATCCAGCAGCCTCACGAAGTCCGATAGACGAAGACGCACATGGCGCACATTGTGTCACAATCCTTGCCCGTCCGAGCCTCCACGGCCACCACCGCCGCCACCACCCCGTCCTCCTCAGTGACACAGGTTGACACAGGATCCTCAACAACTGCAACAGATTCAGCGATCCCTGGCCACTTGCCGAGAGAGCTTGATCTGCTGATATCCGCTGCTTGCGGCGATGCGAATTAAGCTTGACAGTGTATGAAGTGCCTCGGACGCTGCACAACCCTTCAGCATGCAAGAGAAATTCGCTTCACGGTCCTGAGCGACCCAAAATGTGCTCTGTAAACCGCTGCTGAGTTCGGAGATTTCGGCAACTCAGTCGGAGACCCCAGCGCCCGCCGCGCTCTTCTCGCGCAGAGCCAGCCTCAGAAGGCTACATGATTGCAGATATTGCAGCTCAGCCCGTGGACAGGGCCCCGTTTGTTCGGAAGGCAAAGAACTTGAATTCCCTGGGCCGGGCACCATGTCTCGCAGGTCGGCGGGCACGGGCTGATTGGTGCGCTGCATGACCTGGCAGAGTGGCACTGCCACAGCCCAGGTTGCGGTATTGGGTCATGGCCGTGGCCACCTCCATGATGCCTTTCGCTTTGCCGGCATCTGCTCTTCTATCCAGGAAAGTGACCTGAGCTCGCCAGGTTGGAAGGCTCCGATGTGGCACATCACGATATCAGCGTACCAAAACAAACTTGGATAGCAACTGAAACACCACATCGGTCTAAGAGCCCGACGGCAAAGCCCTTGCAGCCAGCACGGCCAGTGCGGCCAATCCGGTGCACATAGTCCTGCAGGGCGCGACGACACACTAAAGCTGATGGCAAGCCACCTGTGTAAACGAGGTCTTCTAAACGGGTCCTCTGTGTTGTTTGCGGCATCATAATTGACCACTAGGCCAACCTCAAATGCACCAGGCTTGGGCCAGGCTTGGTGCACGGTCTTCTACTTTCCGCCTGCAGGCTCTGCCCGGCAAACCCTTTGTTCCTTTCTCCTAGGCAAGGGCCTGGGTCCTTGCAGACTAGGCACGGACATTTTCAGAATGCTTGTCATTCTCACCATACACTCTCAGAGTCATAAGTTTAGTTACTTGTACTGTAAGGGCATTTTTGAGAGCCAGGCCCCCTTGATGTCAAGCCCTCTCGCTGCCACGTCAGTCGCCACGAGGACCTTGTGCAGCTGGAGGGATAATCCCTGAACGTCTTGAGATCCCTTGAAAGCTGCGCCAGAGATGCGATCAAGGTTGATTTGCTGAACCCGAGCATCTTTTGAGCTGAGAACAGCTCTGCAACTATGCAAACAGGAGTGTGTGTACATCCCCAGAGAGGCAGGTCCGGTTGCCGGACGTGAACACAAAGACTGTCGCATGTTCCAAAAGACCGAAGGGACCTTCAGCTTTCCGGATTTCAAGCCGTTCAGCGCTTCGTCTCGCTGGCGCTGATCCTGCGCGTTATCATACTGATCACCAGTCTGGTTCAAGGGGTGTCTGGGATGGTTTGGGCTGTTTGGCGTTTTGAGACTGTGGCCAAGCCATGGCTGGAAAGAAATCTGATGACGGATGCGGACTTGTCCCGACTCTCTTCGCCTCGAAGTTGTCCGCCTCTATTCCACAACTAGCCGCAGCAAGCCCAAAATCCAAATTTTGCATCCTCTACCATCTGCAGCCACTTGATCGTCACATGATGACATGGAAGACTCATGATCCACCCATTCTCACCACGAAGCTCCTTGTCGCCGTGGATCGAGGAACACCTGGCACCCGGTCCCAGTGGGGTGAGGGACTGGCGAGGGACCTCCTCATGCTGAGTTTTAAGGAGCTATGGCCATCTGAGCAAGTCGTTGCTAGCCGCACGCGGTGTCTTGACAACTTCGCTGCCCAGTGGCAGAACAATGCTGGAGGACATGCAAATTTTACACCTGCACTTCAGCTGAGAAAGAAGGCCGGGCGAACGGGACGCCCGCTCTGTAGAGGCTGTTGGAGAGCCTGGGCCGGGCCGGGAAAAAACTGCTCCGAGCGCAGAGAGAAAGTGCTCCCAACGCCCAACGAGCCGGAGGCCGCTCGCACTCGCGCTTCGTCCCGGCAAAGACCAAGGCCTTCCCGGGTTCTTCTCATGCGTCGCGCTTGGCTTCCGAATGCAATGAAGGAGCTGGCCTTCCCCTGGCCATACCGGTCCATGAGCCCGGCCTGTGGCGAGAAGTGGCCATCACGCTCTTGCACTGACGAGGCCACTCCCACTCTTATGCGCTTATGTGCCGTTCTGTGTCCTTGGGTAGATCTGGTGAGCCTGGGTCTTATTGGTTCCGATAGACCCTGCAACCACTCAACTTGAACTCTTTTTCGTAGAAGCATTGTCTCAGGCATTGTTCATTCAAGACATGAATTACACGAGTACACCTGGCCAGCACAGCTTATCACTTTCAAACTGTTTCATCCTAAGCTGACCTGCCTCGTTGAGGAGATCTACGATCGCTCTCTCCTCAAGCGAAAGGCACATGCCGTTTGAACGCACACAAATAACAGAGCGTCGTGACACTCGTCGGAAAGAACGGGACAACTGTTGACTTGGGATGACATGTGACTTTCATGCAAAGTCTGCCTCAATCTGCCGCAGGTGTGGACGGAAACACTGTGGCAAGCAAGCTGCCTTGCTGTATCCGTCGACGACCTTGACCTGCTGGATGATGTCCTCCGAAACATATTCCAAAAGAGCAGAGTTGATGCGAACAGTTTACGCACGTATGCTGGTCAGTGATTGATTAACAGCGACATCAAACGGGACAAAAGGCTACAAGGTCACGGAAGTGTCAACATGTGCGAACACGTACGCAAACATAACGAGACCCACAGCGCGGTCTGTTTTGAAAAGAAAGAGTGAGCAAAAAAGACGAGAAGATCGCGAAGTAGCTAAGCGAAGATGCGCTGATTAACGCCGAAACACCGTCACCGCGAGTGACGTCTCTTTCAGAGGTTGCATGGCGCGCTGATTGTCAGAATAATGCGCAGTTATAAGCAGCAGAAGGCCTCTGCATGCTTCTTGGAGCAAGCATCTCTGCCAGTTCCGACGACTTGACAACATGATAGCAACGATGTGAGGTAACCGTAGGACCATAGGAATGAGGAATCCTTGCTTGCAGTGCACATTGACATGTTGGATCCGTTCGCGAAATCTCCCAAAAGTTAAAGCTCCTACAGGCCGTGGAAAGATTCCATCATTGCCGTGAGTCGGCTCACTCAAAACTGGCAAGAATGCCAGCAAGGACTTTGTGTGCAAACAGTATTATCGTATTGCCTTTTTCCAGACCTGGACAACTGAAATCAAGTTTGCTAGGTTCATCCTGTCCTACAACTCCACGCTCCCGGACGAGAAGAGTGCAGTCTTGAAGACACATGTTACTGAGTCAACTTAGAGAAGATCCCATGCGCAGCTTTCCAACACGATGAGGTCCTGATTGCCCTTCAGTTCGTCACGATTCCCGATCATGACCTGCAACGCTGCGCGTCTGCCTCCCGACAGGAGCGTGCTCTAGAGCCAGCCTTGTAGGGGTTGTACAGGATGTCTGCAGCCAGATTTCTAACCTGACAAGGTGTGGCGGAAAGTGAGAAGTGGTCTGTGCCGGTCTCTGCCCTGTGCCCGGAGCGCCTCTCTTGGCCAGGTTGCCGTGAAGAACATGGTGTGGCGATTCCGCGGAATCCTGTCAGATTGACGGATCGTTAGAGCTGGGAGCTGGGGACCATTCAAGCGATTCAAGCGGCCACGTTCTTCAGGCATGTGCATAGTGAAATCCTCCCCTGACACACAGCCCCGAATCTTTCAAAGAGAGCTGATCACCAACACCAAGAGTGCTGACTGCTCTTCAGGCATGTGCATAGTGAAATCCTCCCCTGACACACAGCCCCGAATCTTTCAAAGAGAGCTGATCACCAACACCAAGAGTGCTGACTGCTCTTCAGGCATGTGCGTAGTGAAATCCTCCCCTGACACACAGCCCCGAATCTTTCAAAGAGAGCTGATCACCAACACCAAGAGTGCTGACTGCTGTCCTCGCCAGGATCTTCCTAATCTGAGGTTCGAAACCTCAGAGGATCAGGGAAAGCTAACTTACTCTCCCCAACGTGCCTGCGTCGTTGAAAACTGGTCCCAGTAACGTTCTAAAGGAAATCACTGCTGGCTTGAACCCACCGACGTGAAGCCTTTTCGCCCTCAGCCCGCGAGGACACAGCACCTTCTCCAACTCAACCCATAGGGCCGCGGCCCATGTCCAGCATTCGGTCCGCTTCGTCAAGAACGAGGCACATGACCTCGCTGTGCACAGCAAATAGGTGCAAAATCGGTCCAAACACCGAACAGCTACAGCACTGCACCATGTCGCCCCGCGACGTCTCGAGACAACAAACAAACCCACACTCCTGGAGCGCGCATGCCACAAGCTTCTGGAGCACCCGGCGCCATCCAGTCGAACCTGGCCGCCCTCCAGGAAGTCGTTTAGCCGACCCGGACACCTTGTTCCGTATTCGTCTTCTTCAGGCTGGGCTTCACAGGAGAATGGAAAGCCCGATAACTACCGTCAACCATCGCTTGTCACGGAGCCGTGTTGGCAAACTCGGATCTTTCGCATGTCGTAAGTTTAGCACCTGTTTGCATGGGCTTGTATGCATGCGCAAGGAGATGTCGCAAAAACATGACATAGATTCAGATCTGAATGTATTGGCTAGTGTTTTCGTGATCAATGAGGCGAGCATCTGAATCAAGCAGTATCATTGTATCATCATAGCCCTTTAGGTGCCTCCGACATGCCTTTCTCCCAGCTCCGTTACTGGCATCCCACACTGTGCAGGTGACCGAAACTCGCTCTCAGGACAGAGCGCGACGATGGTGTGGACTCCATAGCGGTATCTGAGTCTCCAGTTTTGCACCAGGTTGGCAGGGCTTGCTGTCGAACTGTGATATGACCAGACGTAGCACTGTTCAGCAAAGCTCGAAGGACACGCCTTCAACGGGTTCGTCTGTCTGAGTTAGAAGCTTTCTGATCTGGTCCTGCTTTGGCGAGCCACCATACATGGCTACCTCGGATTCATTGCCGTGTCCGCGGTAGTCGCAACAAGCCGCAAAGTGTCGATCAATCACTCGCGCAATCCCTCGTCTGGGCTTCAGGCGACGTTGAAGTTGATGCACTTGCCAAAGCGATCGGCCTAGCCGTGTGGTTGGAACTCGGACTAGCATGCACAAGCTCTATGGCTTTCCACGGAAAACTGCGAAGCCCTCAGCGGCCTCCTGCTCGGTCTGCTGCGCCAGCTCACGCGTCGGCGACCTCGGCTGAACCCCCGAAACCTTCCGATGCCTCCAGGCTCGGAGCCAAACGTGACTGTCCTCCACTGATTACGAAAGAATGCCTGCAGGAGTGGCCCGATTTTAGCAAAACATGTAAATTGCAGGGGCTTTGCTGCTGAGGTGAGGTGGCGAAAACGACCTGGGCAGCATGTCGGAGCATTTTCAAACTCGCAGTCGGTGGCCGAAGAAAAGACTGGCAGTCGACGGTCGGCAAAATTCCGAAGTAAAGACTGCTTGGCAGAGCACTTCAGAAGCGCCCGGAAGGCCTGTTCCGCATTTTCACTTTCGGTGAAGTGGCCCGATCCTTCAGCAGGGCCTTGTTTGTAGCTCTTTGCTTGGCCCTATCCGCAGGTGCCGTTTCCTTTCTCAGCTGCATGGCCGATTTCGTAGATACGTCCTCTGGGAGTTGAGCCCGCGCGACGAAACTCAGGGCATCCGGTGGGAGATCGGCAAAGTTCACGAAGTGAACCGGCCAAAAGCGCCGTTGTTCGTCGATCTGCGCCACGGAGTTCCTGCTCCACGGCCAAGCGACCCGGTCTTTGGACACTTTGAAAAAGCTCGGCCCGTTGGCTCGGCCGCCTGCGTTCCGGCATTTCTGGCTCCACTCTGCGTTCCAGGAAGCTGCTGAAGAGCAGGAGGCGAGCACTCGCCAAGCTTGGTGAGGAGCACGTGGTTCTCGGTGTCACGGAGTGTCATCACGTGACACATCCCGACCTTCTCTAAGGCAAACGCTTGCCGAAGGCTATCGGCTGCCAGCTGCAGACGCGCTGTTTTGCATTGCTAGCCATAATTATTGTTGATCTTCATTGTTGTCACTTTGGGTTGTAGATCCGTAGCCCGGCAAATCACTCAGATTTGGGTTCTGATCAGCTGAAGCTCCCGGCATTCTTCGTAGCAGCGATATACCCCGACGTCTCTGAAGCAAATCCGTGATCTCAACTTCAGAACGAGGGGGATCCCATGGGAGGCTAACACAGCGGACTCACTTCGAATTTTCACACCGCAACAAAGTATGAGCTATCTTTCAGCTACGGCTACTTTGTCGTACGTTAAAGGTGCGAGGCCCTACGACTGTCCATGCATCATGCTTGAACACTTCGTGCCTCGGCAGTCACATGTGAGGATGCGCCCAGCTGTACACAAACCCGTCCATAAGAGAACTCTGGGATTTCACACTCCTCCTTGGTGTAAGCGCTAGCTTCACACCACTTCAGCATCAAAAACCACTTCGTGGTCCTGCCTTCCGGAGGCAGTACTGGCACACGTTCTTCGTGTGAATATGCCCTGCATTCCTTAGTCCTCTGCAACCAATCTCCATATGAATGCAATGACCTCCAGCCGAATTGTAGACCGAGGACTCAGGGCTCAAAACAATTACCGGATCGGTTTGAGTAATCTGTGAAACCATCTGGGGCTTCGGTGGATTTGGAGTCCCTGCTATCCCAGAACCCTGGAACTGTGCAGTTGGGTACGGCCCTGGCGGCGGCTGAACTTGATAAGTCTCTGGTGGAGGAGGAGGTATCAGATCGGCATGTGGGTTGGCGAACCCCGGTGGCATTGAAGTGGATGACGAAGCGGGCTGTGTCCACAACGGGTGGTGGACGGCAGTGGCATCTGCCCTAGGATCATTGGGGCCATGGACATGCACTACCCCTGCCTGAATAACGGGACTGCGTCCCGTTCCTGTTGCCCCTTCACCTGTAGGACACTTGTTCCGGTTACGCCTTGCCTTCGGTGCGTGCTCACTTCCGCCCGACGGGCTAGTCTCACTCACCACACTTTCAATAGCTGCAGTAACCCGGTCTTGCAACCGTTTCGACCTTCTCTCCTTCGTTGCAGCGACGGCTCGAATGCGTGGGGGTTCTGCCCGATCATCTGCCCTCTGCCGACTCATGCTGCCCTTCACTGTTTCCCATAGGCAAACCGTGGACAGGATGATCAACAGCATCGCAACCAACAACTCCCAGGGCCACTCTACTTCCAAGGCTGGCTTTTCTGTTTCACCTTTGCACACTACGCCTTGGAGTGAGGCAAGCAATCCTGCTAGGCAAACCTTAAACACCTTCCCGATCCCTTGCACCTTTTGCACCTTGGGTTGCACCGGGCCTTCTTCAGGACCTAGGCCTAACATCTCACAGAGAAACCGCAACCTAGCCGACGGAAGTGGCTTGGTCAAGATGTCGGCCTTCTGGTACACTCCCTGGCAGTGACTTAGGGACCATCCTTGATGAAGAAGCTGGTTCAGCTTGGCTCCCCTGACTTTGAGATGGCGGGTGCGTTGGGAGCATCCGCCCTTAACCAGGGCAATGGCTGCTGTGTTGTCAACCTCCACCTGAGCGCCTTTACACTGCACCTGTAAATCACCGAGCAGCGAGAGAAACGATTCTCCATACGTGCATCCCTCCACAACTTGGATTAGTTCTGCTTCTGCCGAGCTCATTGCGATGATCTGCTGGCGACCTGCTCTCCACACGGCTGGAGCACCCTTGAACTCCAGGACATGCCCCCCATACGAATGTCGTCCCTCCGGAGAGAACGACGCATCAGTGTAGATGCGGAGGATTGGGGCTTGGGGATCGCACTTCAACCGTAGCTTATAGTCTCGGGTCTGGGCCAAGTACATCAACAGTCTACGACCTATTGCTAAGGCTTTCCCTGGATTAGTGGCCACCAGAGAACACATCACCGAAGTTGTGAACGATATGTCCATGCGGGTGCGCTGTGACAACCAAAGGCATTCCCCAGCGATTCGCTGGGCCTGCCTTGTCACTTCGCCCTCCTCCTCAGCTTCATGTTCTGGCGGGCCCTGGTCCGTCTCGGAAGCTTCTTCTCCCGGTCCATACATGACCTCCTTGGGGCATGTGATCTTGGATCTCATGGCAGGCGTGAGTCCGTGAGCTCTTGTCAGCTCATCCACATATGCCTCCTGGTCCAGCGTAAAACTTCCATCTTCATAGCGCTTCAACTGCATTCCCAAGAATCTAACTGGGGTCTCCTGGGATGCCTCAGCGAGGCCATCTGTTTCCCACTTCGCTCCTTCAAGGATCCATGCATGAAACGCCTTGGCAACCGCATCTTCACTGAGCACCAAGAAGTCATCCACGTAGGTGATCAGGAACCCTTTCAAAGTAGACCCCGACATGATCTTCCATATGCTCGGGTCTGCCTTGCCTTGAACCAGCCGGCATCCAGCAAAGGTGGCTTTTCTAAGTTCATCATCCCTGAACTCTGACCACCAAACCGGCGCCTCTCTGAAACCATAGAGGACCCTTCCTAGCGTGTAGCACTCTCCCTCTTGTGCGAGTCCAAGCTCTATCAGCCATTTCGGCGGCCTCAGCACATACCTTCTGCTTGCTTCCTTGGGTATGGGAGTGAGCGTGAAGGCTGATCGAATATCGCACGTGTAGGCTCCCCACTTGATGCTTCTATCAGAGAAGCCCTCACCAGCTCCGCTGGCGCACCGCTTGCATACAGCGACTCGGCGTCGTTGTGCGGAGCTTGGTTGCCGCACGCAACCAGACGACACTTTCTGCGAAACAACCCACTGGACCCAGCGGACGGGCCCTTTGCTGTGAATACCCCTTTAAGGGGTATTGTGGTTGCGCCTTGGCTGTTCATGAGGTCTCGAGCCTCCTGGCCGAACCGGCTCACCAGAACACCTGACTTCTTTAGCGGGCGCCTCCAGCTCCTTTTCAATTGCAGGTCTCCAACGCTCCAGGTGCTGTCTGACCTCCGCTTGTGATGCCGTGTGGGTCACGCTGAGTGGCTCTTTGAGATCGGAAAGCAACCCCTCTAAGTTTTCCGTCATTGCAACTTCGGCCTTCCAAGCACGGTGCTCCTCCTCCGCCGTTGCGCCATCACCTCTGATCATGAATCGTCGAGACTCAAGAAAGGCTGGATTCGGCAGTGGGATTGGTAGCCTCCGTGGGGCACCATCTTCCGCAACGGTACCTTCCTTGCGATGCCTGGGAACCTGGAGGGCTCGTATCTCGATCGGCAATGGACCCGGCACTTGAAGAACCCTTTCCTCGAGCTCAGGGGGCTCTTGAAGTGTTTCCTCTATCAACACCCGGAGAACAACCACCTCCCTTACATTCCTTTCCATATCCAACAGGTCAAACATCATCAGCCTGTCTGGGAAGGGTGAATCATCCAGGTACATGTTGTCATCATCTGTGAACTGAAACACCCTTGCGATTGGAACCACCTCCCCGGTTGGCAGGCGGTACTCAAGGATAGGATTCGCATTCCAGTCCACACCATCTCTCAGCGTTCCCACAAGCAAACCCCTCGGTATGGCTGCTGAAAGACGCCCTACACTTACTTCATCAGCTCCACTCAACACCCGAGTCCATCTTCCGATGCTTTCCTCAAACTGTGCTTCATCCAACTCACACATGGCTCTCCACTCTTCCGGAGGGATGCGAGCATACCTAACATTTAGGTGCTGAGTGCGTACTCGGTTGCGCCTCCTTTGCGTCATCACGGGCATAGGCATTCGTTGGGGTTGGGTCCAACAAGCCTACACACCTGTGCACTAAATTCGGCGGGGTCCTCAAGCTTAAACCCAAGTTCCCTCAACTCTAGCCTGTCATCCTCCGGCAGCCTAGAGGTTCCTAGGGGACTATATCCCGCTATCACCCAGTCGGTGGGCTCCGTAAGCGCATGGTGCTGCTTTGGATCGAATGCAATTGCCTTCTCACCCAAGCGTCGCCCCTTCAGGACCACTTGTCTTCCGTGGGAATCGAGGAACTCTGCACTGGGGTCGGAGTCGGTCTCCCCTTGCTCTTCACTAGATTGTACGGGACTAACCCATAGTTTTCGACCTGACACCGTTGCAACATAGTTCCATGTGCCCGGCTCGTTCCGGGTGTCCTTGTGCATTGCGACCTGGTCCGCTTGCATCACCATCAGAGACGCCCACTCCTTCTTTCCTTCAACATCTGAAGCCTTGTCCCTCAAGTAGGCATTCAAGTAGCGACACAAACTTGGGCGTGTTCGGCTGACGCGTGTGACACCTCGGATTCCTCCGTGACTATAGGCGCCCAACACCACGTTGAAATCAACAGGACCCCTGTGCGTTCGGCGCGACTGGGTAACAGCTGCTCGAAAGGACTCTTCTAACACCTGGCTGCATGCATCCAGGCTAAAGTCACCATCCTTCAGCAAGGCTTCTGCGAGCCGCTCTGAAGCTAGCTCCACTGCTTTCACTGACCTTTTGCCTGTGACCCGTCTCATCACCTGCGGACCTTCTGCTGGGGGTTCCGACTGGAGTTCGGCCTCGAGTGTTTGTTCTTCACCAAACTCTCTTTCGGGATCCACGAGCTCGGTCAAAGGACGGACATTTCGAGCCACGATGTAGGCTCCGGTGCTTTCCCTGAGCAGCAAATGGCCCATGTCGGTCCTTGAGCATGGTGTAAGGTAAGTTGCATACTCCCATCTCAAGAAAGGCTTTTTCGACTCCCCCGTGGGATGCTTGGACTTATAGACGACTCGCTGGCCGTATTGATGTACCTGACCAGGAAGCTGCAGGACGCGGTGCCGGTGCTCCGCACACGCTAGGGCCATCGCGGTAGGCCAATGCTCGTAGCCCAGCCCTGCTGCAGCTAGGTGCAACCTTGCCTTAGTCTTCACCCACCCTACCAACCGTTCTGCTAAACCATTAGCTTTTGGGTCATCTCCTTGAGTAAACGAGGGTTGGATGAGGTTGGCTTGCATCCACTCTGTGGCTGCCCGGGATACGGCTTCTCTTGCACGGTCCGTGTGCGCCACTTTCACCGGGTATCCCAAACGATTGCACTCGGCCACTACTTCCTGAAAGGCGGGAAGGAAGTGAGCTCCGGACCTTCCCTTCATCGGAACCACAAACCGAAGGATCTGATTTTCCCCGGAGAAACCCATTCTTGACACCTGCTCGTCAAACTCTTCGTCGCTCAACTTCAGGATGCCTTCCCGGTCCTCCCAAGGGTCCATCTCTTCCTCTTCACCTGCTTGTGGCTCTCCATCTGCCTGGGGTGGTTCCTCCTCCACAACCTGAAGATCCTCCACCTCTGACAAATCATAGCTACCGACTGACTCCCTTTCTTCGGCTTCCACTGTCGGTTCTTGCGCCAAAGCGGAATGACCTTCGCTCTGGTTGCCCTCCACGCCTCTTGGCTCGGACGCCTCAACCTCTGCCTTATCCCTACGGTCAGTCGCCTTAGCTTCAGGGGCTGTGCTTTGCGGCGCTTCTTGGGTTGGGACCTTGGCTCGACGAGGTCGGTTGGAACCTGCCTGGGCCGGCAAAGCTTCGGTGGGCACACGCAATCCGGCCACCAAGGCATACTTGTACCTTCCACCCCGGTCATCCTTACCTAACTCTTTGAAGGGACCCGCTAGGTCGTAGCTCAACGCATACATGGCCGGGTGACGTACCCGGCGGTGCTGAAGGCCCAACGATCCACTCATAACACACTGCAAGCAATCCCTTCGGAAGGGCAAGTGGTGTGCCTGCAAATGACGCTTCCAGCCGTCTCTTTCCTTAGGTGAGAGGGGCACATGGCACCCATCCTTCTTGGACCTAGGGCCTGCTGCCCTTGGAGAAGTCTCGGCCTCGGCGGGCGGGCCTTCCTGATCGCTTCCCAATGGGATTTGATCCAACTCCTTCATCAGATCCTCCTCCTCGGACGGCGCTCCTTGATCCTTACGATCCACCGCCCTCACCCTGGGACGCTTGCCTTCGGCATGACTTGGGATATCGTGTCCAAACAGGACATGTGCAACCTGTACCCGGAAACCTTCCGGCCATGACGCCTTGGCTACCTCGGGCTTCGGCACCTGTGGCAGTAGTCGTTGCAGGGCCTCGGGACTAAACTGTAGGTTTGAACACACCCTTAGGGGCCTAGTGTGCTGTGCGCCCACAGAGGTCCAGGGCACCTTGTAGAAGCAACAATTGCTCCATTCGGCAAAGGGATCCATCACTGCTTCCTTCCAAGCCCTCACGTCGGACCCTCCAGGTTCTCCTTCGGAGAAACACATAGGCACCCCTTTCCCTCTGGCCACCGACGCTACGGTCCAGAGCCACAGAGGTTGAACACTCACGAGGGTGTCCTCGTCCACCTTTGCCTGCAGCGTTCCCTTAAGGCCTTGCACGCCCCAAGGTTCAGCATAGGTCCGCAACTTCATCATCCCTGAGCCGGTGTCGGTCTTTTGCCACGTCCTTATTGGTGGGTCATCCAAAATTGCCGAGATCCGACCGGTGAACGCTGCCCAGCACAAGGCCTTCCACAGCGGAGCGTCGGTGAGATCCCATCCACGGGACGTCTGCAGGTCAACCTCGACCAACTCATATCCTTCTTCCTGACATCTGGCCTTCAACTTCGGGTCTCCTCTGCCGCTGCACAAGCTAAGCACCCAGTTCTGTGACGCATGAAGACGCTTGCGCAACCGCCGATTCACGGGAAGGGCCTTAAGGAGATCCCAGCCTTGTGCTCCCTCTAGTCCCACAGCTAACTTGCTTGTCACCCGAGTTGGCACACATTTCAGGAAGGGCATTCGGTCTACCAACTTCTGGGCGGAGACCTGGGAGCCTGTGGATATGAACTCGTCCAACACCATCTGGAACCCTTGACCGGTCTGGGCCGACAGTTGGCTCTGAATTCTTCTCAAACGGCTCTCCAAATCCCCAATGTGGGCTCCCTCAAGCTCCCTCACAAGTTCCAAAGCCTGCTTCTTGCTCAACTGTGGACATCCACTCCGGATGCTGGTCTCCAGTTTGCCCAGTCGAGGGTGGTGAAGTTGAAGGCCGGCTTTCTTCGTCCAACGGATACTGCATCCGAGCTGCTCCACCAACGACCCCAACGGTAGGATCGTCTGCGTTTCTCCACCTTCCTCCTTGGCAGGAGCGACCAACGAACCACCCGGAGTTTGACGCCACCACTGGCGCTGATCCCCGGCTAGGGAAACCATACACGGCGAGAGATCTGTTGTCCGCACCGCGGTGGGATCGAGAACTGCGTGCGTGGCCCCGGAGTCCAAAAGGGCAGTCTGCTCCCGTTCGGTCACTCCCCCGCCTGCCTCAACTGCGCGGATGCGTGGCTGACCTTCCATGACCCTTGCCTCCAAGTCTTGCAGTTGCGCTTCTATCTTAGCGGCGGTCGCCATCACAGGAGGGTCCGCAGCTGCCCGCATGGCTGCTGAAGCGCTTTCGCCGCCTGGAATGCCCTGGTGAGCGGTGGGTGATCCTGGATCCTGAACCGAGTCACTCTCGGCAGCATTCGCCCTAAACGCTTCCCGTAGCACTCCCGCTGCTTCCGAAAGTACCTTCTTGAGGCCTGCGTCGGCCTTGGGCTTTGCTGGTGCTTCCTTGGCATGCGCCTTCGGATTGCCTGCCTCAGACCTGGCCTTGGGGCTACCTGTCGGAGCTGGGCACGTGTCTTTCTTGTGTCCTTGGCCTCCACATCTCATACAGCGCGAAGCTCGGTCGGCCTTTGGGATCGAGGACCAGTCGTGCACAAAACTACACTCACCCCCTTTACGGCAACCCTTGCCATCGTGGTACCATCGGCACAAGCGCTTGCCTGCATCTCCTCCTGAACTTGGCGGGGTTGTGGTCTTAGGGTGTGGGGCTTTGGCGGGGGCTGCGCTTTCGCTGGCGGTCCCTTGCAACGCCTTTGCATCAACCTGTCGCACCTTGTTGGCATCAGGCCTTCCTGCACTTGCGGCGGACGCCGCTTCAGACACCCTTGAAACCCCTTCTAGCTCTGCCAGCATGTGCTCGTAAAACTCCGAAACCTTGGTTGTAGAGGGCTGAGTGTCTATGTTGAGGGAGGCCCGCACTAGGTTGACCCGAAACGCCAAGTTGGGTAGGCTTTTCAGCACGCTGCCTGTGATGGCTTCCAACGCTACGATGCACACCGCCGGATCAGGAGGCGATCCTCCCAAGTCCGTGAGCCGCACCAACCAGCGGCGCCACGTGCGCAGCTTCAGGATCGGCGAGTCTGCCGCCAGTGGGCTCTGTATCTGCCTCAAGGCCTCCGAACGCTCTGCAACCCCTCCCGGCTTGTAAACCATGTGGAGCTTGCACAACAAACTCATCACTCCGCTGATCCTCGCGGCGCTCAGCTCAGACTTAACGGTGTCGGGACATGCCTGGATGATAAGATGTTCCATACGGTGTCTCACTCTGGTCCATCGCACATCCCGTTCCGCAGGCGACGTGGCATACTTCGTGCGAACCCGAGCCAGCGGAGTGGCCGGAACATACTGGTTGTGATACCAGTCTTGCGCATCCGCCAAAAGCCGCTCCCAACACTCTCCCGAGCTGTCACTGAGATCTGACATAGCTGGCCGAATGGCATGCACCCAATCTGCGAACCCCAACGCACCCTCTAGGGTGGGCGAAGGGAGCTTGGTGAGCTCACTTATGCCCGGACGGACCACTTCTGTACTCGCCGAGTGAGTGCTGCTTGCCGCTCCTTTGGTCGCAGCTAGGTCCGCCACTACCCCGTGCAACTGAACAATGCCCGACATCATGGCTTCCAACGGGTTTTGCGGGATCGCAGAAGCGCCCACTGGCACTGGAGCTGAACCTTTAGGCACCTGACCTGAGCCTGTGTCAGCTGCGACTGCAATCCTGTGTGCACCTGACCTGTGACCTGAGGCAGACCTACGGGCACCTGTGTCGGCTGCGACTGCAATCCTGTGGGCACCTGACCTGTGACCTGAGGCGAACCTTCGGGCACCTGTGTCGGTTGCGACTGCAATCCTACGGGCACCTGACCTGTGACCTGAGGCAGACCTCCTGGCACCTGTGTCAGCTGCGACTGCAATCCTATTGGCACCTGACCTGTGACCTGAGGCGAACCTTCGGGCACCTGCGCCAGCTGCGACTGCAATCCTACGGGCACCTGACCTGTGACCTGAGGCGAACCTTCGGGCACCTGCGCCAGCTGCGGCTGCAACATTGGACCTTGAACCTGGGCGGGAGTCGGAATCCCGTGGGGGACAAAGGATCCCTGAGATCCTTGGCTCACCTGCGCCACTGCGGTGACGGTGCTGGCAGCGATGAAAGGGGCCTGACCGGCCTTGGGCGGTACCTGTTGCACAAGTCCCATTATACCCTTACCGATGCCTCCTAACCAACCTCTGACTCCATGCTCCACCCCAGTCCCAGATTCATTCCTCCTAAGGAGTTCATTCTCCCTTTGCAGTAAAGCTACCCTACGTTCCAGCTCTGCCTGTACACTCATGAACTGCTGTAGCTGTCGACGAACCTCCGTTTGAATAGCATCTCCAGACTCAGAGCTCACTGAATGCGGTAGTTCCGGGGCCGTAGGTTCGGGGTACAAGAGAGGAGCTGCCTTCGCCATCGTCTCCAGTCGTTCTGCTTGCTCCGGTGAGAACAGCGGACCTTGAGGAGCTACATCTGTCCGAACCACATCCGTTTCTCCAGCATCTACATCTGACACAGCTGAAACATAGCCCGTCCCTGCAGTTCCCGTTGTCCTCACTGTTCCCGCGGAGCCGGCGCCCGGCGTCGATGATCTCGGGGGACCGCGGACACCTGCAGAAGCCTTCACCACTCCTTGCACTGCCGCCGAAACCTCCGAGAAAAGGCTCCCCATTCTCTGTCCTGCTTCCACTGCCTTGGCCTTTGCTTTTGCAGTTGCCCCGTTCAGCTGAGCCCCAGGATTCCTCTGCTCGGGACCCTCATCGGCCCTGCCTGGAAACCCCTGGCCCTCGCTCAAACTGGCATCCACAACTTCACCATCCAAGTTCAGGCAAGCACCACCAGTCGGAACATGCGTCGTGGTAGCGCCCATAACCTGTTGATCTTCATTGTTGTCACTTTGGGTTGTAGATCCGTAGCCCGGCAAATCACTCAGATTTGGGTTCTGATCAGCTGAAGCTCCCGGCATTCTTCGTAGCAGCGATATACCCCGACGTCTCTGAAGCAAATCCGTGATCTCAACTTCAGAACGAGGGGGATCCCATGGGAGGCTAACACAGCGGACTCACTTCGAATTTTCACACCGCAACAAAGTATGAGCTATCTTTCAGCTACGGCTACTTTGTCGTACGTTAAAGGTGCGAGGCCCTACGACTGTCCATGCATCATGCTTGAACACTTCGTGCCTCGGCAGTCACATGTGAGGATGCGCCCAGCTGTACACAAACCCGTCCATAAGAGAACTCTGGGATTTCACAATTATATTCCAGCATGCCAGCAAGTGCTGCCCAGGTCCTCGCCGTCGTCAACGGCTGACTTGCCTGGTGCGGCCTCAGCCGCAAGAGCCGGCGACGTCCGCAGGGCCTGATGCGCAGGAACACCACCATGGGCCAGTCGCGATGGCCAAAGAAGACCCGACTGTGTCCGAACTGCTCGGCACACCAAGCGGAATGGTCAGTGGTGCTGAGAAGGACTAGCTCTAGCTGCCAGTGGTGGAAGCCCTCTTTCAACATGGTACACTCCTTGTTGCACCGGAGCAGGAGCGGGTTGAGCTGTTTCGGGCGATGTCGGCAAGCGCAAGAGTACTTGCCAAGCTTGGTGAGGAGCACCTGGTTCTCGATGTCACGGAGTGCGCCAGCACGTGCTGCCCAGGTCCTCGCCGTGGTCAAGGGCGGACTTGCCTGGCGAGGCCTTAGCCGCAACAGCAAAAGCTTTGCGTCGGACAGCTGTGGGAACTCGTCCGGCGACGTCCGGACCACTATGGGCCAGTCGCGATGGCCATAAAAAACCCGACCGTGCAATAACTGCTCGGCACACCAGGCGGCGTGGACAGTGGTGCAGAGAAGGACTAGCTCTAGCTGCCAGTGGTGGAGGCCTTCCTTGAACATGGTACACTCCTTGCTCTACGGGAGCAGGAGCGGGTTGAGCTGTTTCGGACGATCTCGGCAAGCCCAAGAGTACTTGCCAAGCTTGGTGAGGAGCACCTGGTTCTCGGTGTCACGGAGTGTCATCACGTGACACATCCCGACCTTCTCTAACGCAAACGCCTGCCGAAGGCTTTCGGCTGCTAGCTGCAGACTCGCTGTTTTGCACTGCTAGCCTAATTATATTCCAGCATGCCAGCAAATGCTGCCCAGGTCCTCGCCGTGGTCAAGGGCGGACTTGCCTGGCGCTGCCTTAGCCGCAACAGCAAAAGCTTTGCATCGGACAGCTGTGGGAACTCGTCCGGCGACGTCCGGACCACTATGGGCCAGTCGCGATGGCCATAAAAAACCCGACCGTGCAATAACTGCTCGGCACACCAGGCGGCGTGGACAGTGGTGCAGAGAAGGACTAGCTCTACCTGCCAGTGGTGGAGGCCTTCCTTGAACATGGTGCACTCCTTGCTCTACGGAACAGGAGTGGGTTGAGCTGTTTCGGACGATCTCGGCAAGCCCAAGAGTACTTGCCAAGCTTGGTGAGGAGCACCTGGTTCTCGGTGTCACGGAGTGTCATCACGTGACACATCCCGACCTTCTCTAACGCAAACGCCTGCCGAAGGCTTTCGGCTGCTAGCTGCAGACTCGCTGTTTTGCACTGCAAGCCGTAATGCCAGCAAATGCTGCCCAGGTCCTCGCCGTCGTCAAGGGCGGACTTGCCTGGCGCGGCCTTAGCCGCAAGTTAAAAGCTCTGCGTCGGACAGCTGTGGGAACGCGTCCGGCGATGTCCGGAGGACCTGACGGAGGGCCGTCTCCGTGGCCTCGACCTTCACTTGCGGTGCCGCTGGCATTGGAGCTGGGACTGCTTGCATCATCTCAGGAGACTCCGTCTCTAGCTCAGGAGCTTGTACCGCTCGGGAGCCTCCTGCTTCACTTCGGTCCTAAGCTCTGTCGATTGCGTCCTCTGGGAGTCACTCCGTGGAGGAATGACTTCACCAGGCACCTCTCCGCACGCTGACTGTGAAGTTGGGTGGCCGTCTATGTCTTGGGTTGTCAACAACCCTGTTTCGCTCTCCGACTCTTGGGATGCTTCGAAAGCATCTGGACGCGGAGGCCACTCTGCAGCCCCATCTCTGCGAGCCTCCTTCGCTTGTTTTCTTGAGTTGCCTCCCCGGCATCCATCACCAGCTCAAAGCCTTTGGCAGCATGTCGTAACCGCTCCTCCATGAGGATGGATCGTGATCTATGTCACTGTTCGAATGCTCACATGTTGCTCACGCGCTTTCGCTGCAAATGACCTGGCAGCATGTGTATACTGCGTATGCTGCTCACGTGAACGGGCCAAAATGACCTCGACAGCACCATACAAGACATCGGCAGCACGTGTATGATGCACATGCTGCTCACGTGAATAAGCCAGACTGACCTCGAAGTCATAATGCAACACACAGTTATCGTGCCGGCGCCCCGACTGACTCCACTGAGGCAGTGACATGACGAGCAAACCCGGCCCGTATCTGTCCGGATTGTGTCCTGTCCAATGCCGGATGCCGACAGCACTCGTACAGGCGGTGATACGGGAGCTGTGTTTGCAATGTGCCAGTCCTACGTTCCTTGCATAGAGTATACTTTGGATGACTTCAGGATTAAGCGGCAGACGACACGTAAGTAATTTGCAAGAGAGCTGTCCTCTTCTAATCCTTGGTTGCTTGCAAGCAGCACGAAACCAGGGTACTTGCATCAAAAATCAAAACCCGACTCACTAGGCTTTTCTGCTTTATCCTGGCTGCCTCTTGCTGGGGGCAGCGTGTCAAAGAATCCAAATCTACGATGTCAAGTTTGGCAGCGCTGCGCACGTTCCAGACAGCTTCTAGCTGCTAGCTGTTGCGGAAGCCCTGCTGAATGGCTGCACAAAGTGCACGCAAAACCTACCCGCAAAGTGGCTGCTGCACCAATGTGTAGATGCATCCAAGCTTCATCTCGCAGAACGCTGGCAAAAGGAATGCCAACGTTTTGCCGCTACCTGTCAAAACGGTGCGCAGAGATTGGGGCAGCCGTTCTTTGATTTGTCTTTGCCCCAAAGCCTAATGACTTTGGCGTTTCATAAGAAGCTTCCCAGCGGCCTGTGGCTGCAATGCCAATAATGTCCTGCAGGAATTCTGCAAGTCGAAGGAAGATCCCAGACTATCCCATCGCAGCCGCTCCTTGCCCTCCAAAGCCAGTGGCCAGGTGAAGGCCTGGCCAGGGCGCTGCCCATGGCAGAGGCTCAGAGGAACTTGTCAGGTGGGACTCTGTCAGTTGGAAGCATCTCCCAGCCGCGGCCTGGATTTGCGAAGGCGAGGGAAAGCCGGCGCGCCTGCAACGCTAATGTAAGACCCACTAGCCTGCAAGCTTTCAACCCGCTCTGTGGAACCATCTGCTCCGTGTATCTCTTGCAGGAGGAGTGCCCCTGCCACGAAACGACCAGTCCCGAGCTTGCCTGAACTCCTGCTGGATCTCGCGAGGGAACCTGCTAGGAAAAAAAGCTGTATGCTAGCTGGACGAGCTCTGAAGTAAGGACCTTGCACAACTGTAACAACCCAGACCCCCGCGCAAGTCGCTCCGCTCCCCCTGCGACTGGGCCGCCCGGCTCTCGCACCTCCTCGAAGGACTGAAACTTCACGGGGTGCACAGACCGGTCGTCCTGAGAAAGCAGGAACCTTTGACACGCCTCCGCGAGAAAAAACATAGTTGTTGTAGATCCGGAGCACAGGAGCATGAACATGCGGACCATTCGATGAAGGCCAAGTCATCAGGTGTGCCAACGTCGGAGGGGTTTTGTTTGAAAGATGCACTCGGTTCCTGTTTTAGACTCGCGTGGCCTGAGAACGGTGGCACTGTAGGATCCCCCACCGGACCACGGACAGAGATCTCGCTGTCGTCCACGCAGTGACCGCTGCTGTCACCCCGGCCTGTGGGCCAGGAACGACTTCCCAAAATCCTTAAGAGACGCACGTCCAATGCTTTGGCAGGACAACCTACTACATGTTATTGCGCATTCTAAGTCAAATCATCGACAGAGGCGACCCTATTTTAACTTTCCGCTCGCAGAGCACCTGCAGCCTCACAGGCTTCTCGTACGGTCAGTCCGTTGTGGCCATAGCCGTTGCTGGACCTGCATTTCTTTTGTGACTGTGCACCGGCCATGATTGAAGACAGGTCCCAGAGATGCGAAGAGAAAAGGGGGGCCGAGACCCGCACGCGTACGGCAGAGCCTTCGGCAAGGGAAGACTCAACTATGCAGACCTACCTGGTACTGGTACCTGGATTTATAGCTGCCGACAGTCGCCGCATAGGATCGCACGGAAGCTACTAAAGAACGGATAATCTCCATGAACATCGGCCAAGGCCAGGGCTGCGGAAGCGTATGCGCCGCCGCCGTAGGAGTTGCCTTGGACGCAAATCGGGCGGAGTTGAGCAAGATGGCCGACATTGGCCAACAGAATACAGCACGAAATCCCACCTCTGAAATCTTTCCGAAGCATCCGAAATCTTCTGCGCTCTTCCGAAGGAACTTACAGCATCTTCCTCAGGCACGCGCTCCAACTCCCCATCTTGCCACAGTGGCCCAAACACGCACCTCCAGGTGTCAAGCAGGTAGCAGGCGCACAGCTTCTGGAGAAAAGCCCCCTGCACTCTTTCGCTTGAACTCACCTTAAGGATAAATTATCATCGTCGTCGTCATATATCGTCATCATCATCGACACCTCCGCCACTACCGCAGGAACAGGAACGGTCGGGTGCATTCAACCCCTAGTCCTTGGTTGAGGGTGCAGAGTCACGCTGCGCAGCACCTTGCGACCCGCAGCGCCACGTCTGAGTCGCCTCAGAGAGCCGAGCATATCTTTGCTAATCGCAAAAAAAATTTCAGGGGGCGGCGATCGCTCAGAATGCCAAGGCGAGGTGCTCGTTGCCGTGCCAAACTCTGCAGGGGCTCTGGACTCAACTACGCTTGAGCCAGACGGTTGCAGATGGTTGCAGAGCTGGGCCCTTTAGGAATGTAATCAAACACCTTTGGATTTGCAGCGGTTCGTTCGCGGTGCGATTGGATGGCAGCTCCGTGTACTAGCAGGATAGGAGGAGCCGAGGCAAGCAATCTGAGCGCGAGATGCGGGTTTCAATCGGCGATCCACACTGTGTCTACTCACACATCTCCGATCTAGGCTGAAACACACTCACCGCAGCGCAACTCGACTCATGTTTTCGCAAAGCACGGTGCAGGTTGCTCTCAGCCAGCCCGACGCTTGGCCCTCACGATCCTGGCACCGGGCGATTTTGGGCTGCAAAGAACTCGCAGCTGATGTACTGTGAGTTGACAGGTGCACCATGGGTGGCACCTACCACAATTTTTCTCCACAGCTCAGCAGAGAAATCACGAGCCACATTCCCCAAGCCGCCTAGACTTTGTAAGCTTGGCCCACGGGCACTCCACGATCCACTCGGCTGGCGTGCTCAGTTTCGGTCCAGACTCAGTGGAATGGTGCAGGACATCATCTTCCACTGGCGACCTTCCAACATTACCCCGCAAAGAGATTCCTTGTAAAATCCGCTTCTCTAGAAAACCCCATCAAAGCAATTGTTCGCTCGCTTCGTCTTGATCCACATCTGCATACTGTAGCCGCTGGTGTAAAACTGCACGCAGTGCAACTTGATGAAGAAAGGCTGATGAATGAGAAAAAAAGCCTCCAAGACCCAGGAAAGTATGATTTATCCAAGTGCTCCCGTTTCCGGCACGGCACTCACGGGGTCACCGTCAACCCTTTCTTGAGCGCCGCGATGGTCGCGGGCCCCGTTCGGCAGCAGCCCCCGATACCTGGACACAAAAAATTTCCCGATGGCTGAAACCAGGCGTCGGGAAGAGGCGGTCCGACAAGGACGAGAGCCGGCGTGTGCTTCCACTACCCTACTGCAGAGGCCAGCTGTAGACACTACTTTCGGCGAACGAGCTGCAATTGGCGCCAAGCTTGAGCCACTTGCGCGCCAGCTCCACATACCTGCCGGCATCGGACACAGGTCGACAGGCATTCTTGGTGCGCCCAGTATTTGCAAGGATGGCCCCAATCCGTCAAGGGACTGTTCGTCAGCTGTGGCTGAGCCCGTCTCCCAGGCATGAGTTGTACCATTCCTCGGATGTCTGGAAATATTGTTCGGGCCATGGAGATGAGGGCAACATGGACTTGGACGAGAAACAGTCTTACCATTCAACTGACAAAAGCCAAGTCCTTCAACAAGACAGAGACATCGCAGACGCTGCTACTCTACGGCCCCACACCCACCTCGCACAGAATTCCTGTAGATGCATCCTACTGATTGAAGCAGTGCCTATCTGGACTGAAGTCAAAGGCTCCAAACCTCGCCGGCATTGGGGTACACGACCACACCTGTCATTAGCAGTCTTTCGTGCTTCCAGCAAGGGTCGTATCAGTGCAATGTCGGCCAGCACAAACTGTTGTTCTACCGAGCATAAATCCCTGATGATGGGAATGCGAAGCTTCTGACAGAAAAAGTTCCTCTGTAAGCTATGCACAGTACATCTGGAAAGCCTGTGGCCGCTGCAAGGCAAACCATGAACAACAAAAGTGGAGAGAACATGAGACAGTGATGGAAATCAGATCCTGCACGAATCTTTTGTTACAGATAGAAGGTATCAGACACGTACGCATCTCTCTAGAGTTGACCCGCCCCGAACAGCTCGAACTGCTCCATGCGAGCTTGATCCGTTGAAACAACACTCTTTGCCGAAGGCTCCCACATCCAGGCGACGAACCGCATCCCTTCGCCTTGTTAATTGCCATGGAAGCTGCTCTTTTCGGCGGGCAACGATTGCCGGCAGATTTGGACGAGACCGGCGACGAAGTCGGGATGCGAGCAGTTCACGCCTGCTCCTGGATTTGGAGGGCAGCTGCTTCCGCATCATTACCAACCAGACCCAGTTGCTACAGCATGAAACCCAGCGGCCTCTGCAACATATCGGAAGCCTGAGACAGTAATTCTCCAAGGCTCCAACCACCCAGTCGCATTTGGCCACGGCAGCGATGCAGTCTGCGAAAGCATCGCCCGAGCAGACTTCAGTGTCGGATTTGCAGGAGAAGGTGACCCAACCAGGATGCTCCAACTCCTTACGAGCCGGGAGCCGGGCGTACAGACACTAAAAACGCATGGTATAAAAGTTGGAAGGAACGAGCTGCGAGCTCAATCACGAGTGCTGCAGCTACGCCTCGAGGAAAAGCTACGAGTACCCTCGAAGTGAGCAAGGGAGACGAAGAATGCCTCCAAGTTACGTTTAGCAGGCGAACGAGAGCTCGGGCTTCCAAAAGGCTGGGCCTCGGCTTGGCAAGCACCCTCACGGATTACAAGACGTGGATGCCCTGGATTGTTTTTTGCTCGTCACCCTCCCTGGGCTTGGCACCGGTGGCCAGCCTTTTGGAGCCATGTGAGGCGTGTAATGGCGTGTATTGGATCAACCGGGAGTTGGGAATGGTGGAATTCTTGGAATCCCTTTTTGGCTACCAAAAGCGCTCGGGTGCTTGCGAATGGCTTGCAAAGCCTTCAAAGGTTGTGGGGACCTGGACTGCAACCACCCATTCATTCAAAAACACCTGCACCAGATGATGGGCTTCTGGTAAAGCTGTTCGGAACTGTTTCGTTGTTTCAGCTACAGCTTCAATTGATTGTGGGTTCGGCAGCCAAAGCTGGATGCCGCAGCACTGGGTCAGGGCCCGACACGAAAGCCTACAATCTTCTCTTCCCTGTGAACCTATTCAACAAACATCCGCAACCGCAACTGCATGGCCTTCCGATGCACAGGTTACATGAGCGGCACGCAATGGTCGAGCTTCGAGTCAGCCAACAGGATTCGAATGCAGATGGACCCATGCCAAGTATGAAAACTGCTTTGCTCTTTACCATCTTGAAACCATCTTCAACAAAGGCACACCGTCTCGCATGCGAGGATGTCACAACCTGCTTCGACCAAGGCCTGGGCACCATGGATGTCATAGTCTGCGGGTTGCAGAGAGTGTTTGCGACGGATCTGCTCAAAATGATGCCGTTTATTGTTTCGGGAGCTGAATGCACCCGTAGAGGCGGACTGCGTATGACTGGCTGAAGCGGAGTTTCGAAGGTTACAGGGGGTGTCGGCGTCTTGCTCTGACACGTTTGGTCTTGCCTCTGTTTGCTGACTGTCCTGAAAAAGGACATACCAGCCACAAGCTGAGAGCCTGTGAATCTGGATCGATGGTCATCTAGTCTGCAAGCCTGCTCCGAAATGCCCTATCACTGTACGGGTTGCTTTAACAATGCTATTCATCGTGTTTTCCGTGGCTCCAGACTTAGCGGTGGATTTGATCTGTGCCCGCTTGTGAGAATTCGACCATGCCCCATCATGCTAATCAGTGTGACGTTGCAGTTCCCCTACTCCCCGTGATTCGGACCGGCCTTGGCTCGAGGCCGGTGCCAGGCAAGCAGACTCGTTTCATCCATCCCTGTTTCCAGTTGAGACACGGTGAGCATTTGTCCCTTCCTAGTTGATCCCTAACGGCGCTAACATGCCCGTACTTTTTAAGCTACTCGCAGGAGCTAGCAACCTGCACTTGGCCATGCATGACCGCCGCAGCAGAAGAAGCAGGATGGAAGAGCCTGGGAAGTCGCCGGTGTACTCGGCCCCGTTATGCAGCCTGAGGTGCAACATTTGCGCATGATGACCTGTAGCCTAAAAGGATCGCCGTGAGCAAGCCATGGGCAAGAGTAGACTGGAAGGCGTGCGGCAAAGCTTTTCTGAGACCTTGGCGAGGCGCCGTAGCTGCCCACACTGCCTGCTACCAGTGCCCCCGGAGGCGCGGTCTCGCCTCGCTATGGCATCCAGCTCTTCAGGTACTTTAGGTGACTGCTTCCTGCATTCGCCGGGGTCAAAGGCTACCACGTCAACCCTGATGCCTTACCAGCGGAACACAAAAGTCCAAGGCTTCGAGCTTGTGGGTTCTTGGCATAGGCATGATTGAATATGCTTGCTAAACGAGCCTTTCAGGAAAAAATGCTCGTGCATCACCTAAGCCAGACCCCACCCCAATCGAACCAACTGGCGGCCCAGTGTCGCGCTAAGTCGACAGACCGTTTCACTGCCTTCAGTGCCTGCCGCACACGAAAACTGGTGTCAGCACGAAAGGCAGCACCGCGGCTGCAGCCTCCTCCTCGTCCATCCCGAGCTCGCGAAAGCCATCGAAGTGTGCCTGGCACTTTCCCCTTGCACAACAACAGTTCGGCTTCGCCGAGATGCATTCGTGGGCCCGGCCTGGTAGGAAGCAGTGATGGCCACCGCAGCGCCTTCTGCAGCTAAGTTCTATATCCGGGCATAACTCGGCCCTAGCACACCGCAAAAGCAACGGCTTACAGGCACGGAACCATTAGGGGCAACATACTCATCTGCAGTGTATCAGTTCTCAAGCCTCTGCACTTCTGAGTGGGGCCCGTGCCGGCATCATAGTAATCTCTGTGCGCCTGTTTGATGACCTGCACCAGCAAGGCCACACAGAAGCAGCCCCTGTGTCAGTGAAGCTCTCCGCTGCACTCACAGAGGTCATCTTCATCAGTGCTCCTACACTACAAACGCGAGCGCAAGAACTAGAGAGCAAACAACACAGGCCTCAGCACAAGCAAGCAACCGAAAAAGGGCAAAATGCTAATACAATATGTGACAGTATGTGAGTGTGCGTAAACCAAACGGACAAACCGAAAGACTGATAAAGAAACAGAGAGAGAGAGAGAGAGAGAGAGAGAGAGAGAGAGAGAGAGTCAGAGAGAGTATGCAGAGCTGCGTGCATCGGTACTGTATTTAACGGCGCTCTGTGCCTGAATGGGGCTGTGACCTTAAAGAGAGTGCAACTCTCCGAGGATCCTGCCGTCGGGTTCCTCACCAGGCAAGAAGCAGACCACAGGGAGTGGTCGATGCTTTCGCCAAGCCTTGGCACAGCGAGCACGCACAGCACTTCTCGTCAAGCCACGAGAAGCCAAATTCAGGCCAGGCGACGCCTCGACATGCGTGGCAAGACCGCCTGGGAATCGAGGATGCTTCGAACCTTCACTGCCTTCACCTTCCCGCATCGTGACTTTGAGAGACAACTGCCTTTCTCCCACAAGGACAGCCTACTGCAGAATGCTTTCAATCTGTAGATCTATATACCCGTAAAAGTGAACAACCTTGACGTTCCTTCCTGAACAATAAGATAATTGGCCGTCCAAGGGGCCATCGAGAATGAGCACTTGACTCTTGCCGCGACAGGTCGCGAGTGGGTCTTTCAACGACTTGCGGGCCCGTTTCCAATCCGGCGCCGGCTCTGGCGGCGGAGTCTCTGCCATGGCAATAGCTGCAGCAGCTGTAGTACTATTTCATGAAGTCATCTTTTGCAACGCAAGCTCGGCAAAAACCTAAATTAACATCACCGCAGCATGCCGGTTGTACAAATTGAATCGGGCCAGCTTTGTTTGGCTTTCACCCCTCTCCTCCGAGATGGCTCTGAGGTGTGCGCAGGTAGGCCAGATCACTTCAAAAGATGCGAGTCCGAGCTCTGTGCCTGCGTCCCGGCGGTGGGCCGCCGGGGTTGGGCTGCGCCTCAAAAGGATGGCCCAGAGGTGGCCATGGAGCCAAGGCCGTGGCGAAAGTCCTCTGCGACGCTCGGCCGAGTCTTTTTGGGCGCCCTGCGAACAGGTTTCCGCCGGCAGCCTGTGGGAAGGCTGCTCCGGAAATCCGTTGCAAGGCCCTTTAAAACATCCACGAAGCCTGCTGGCTGGCAGCGGTAGCGAAATATCCCGCTAGACTAAACACTCGAACTGAAGATAGCCGGAGCCTGTGGAGCAGCGCCGAAGCCACCTGCACCTGCGCAGCTGACGCCGTGGCAGTTACTGCAAGCAGGTGCCGGAGCGGCTTTAAGTCGGAGTCGTTGTGGTGAGAACTGAGAGGCGCAGACTCCCGAGGCCCCGAAGCCTGGAGCTGGTCCGAAACCGCCGAAGGCACCGGCAGCCCCCGCCTTGGTTTCGGGCGTTAACCCCCTCCCTGCGGAACTGCCGGCCAACGTGCAGACATCTGAAACCCACTCGTGCATCATCGCGCAAGCAAGAACGTTTCCACACTGCACCGACGGCTCCAACATCTTGCCGCGTGTTGCCACAGAAGGCAGGAGAAAAGACCCCCAACGGCCAATACCTGCAGTTCCAGGGCTCTGGCCGCCGGTTGGCCAAACCCTGCACAGAGGAACTCTGAAGGTATTTGGGCATCCGGCTCCAACGCCTCCTAGACTCATCTAGACTCAGTCCCTCCCACCTGCGCCGGGTGGTGGGAAACCTTGCGGAGCACCTGGGCTTGCACGGTACTGCACTCAACATCAGGTCGCGTTGCCAATGTTCGACGCCTCAGAAACTGAGAACCCGCGGCCTGCAACACTCCCCAGGCTGTCGCGTTTTCTGGCGACTCAGAAACCGTCTCCTTTCCACTAGCTTGGCCCCGGGGCCAGCACCACCAAAAGGTGAGCCACCAAAACCAGGATTTGGACCTGTCCAGCGTGGGCCCTGCTTTACAAACAGCGCCAGCCAAAAGGAGATGAGACCCACTGCGAACGGAAAAAGGCCTGCAGCTGGCTGTCCAAACATGTCTGCAGATCCTCCAGATGGGAACCAACGCACAGACAGCGGATGAAACCGTTGAGATCCATCCCGGCTAAAAGAGGTTCCCTGTGCCTTGCGACTGTGCCGGGCCCTGGCCGAACATGAAGGCGCTGCCACCTAGTAAAGAAGTCGGGGCTTTTACGGTCTCTGCTTCGCTCTTCTGCAGGTTGAGACGGTGTGCATTATGCTGCCGATTCTCACGGGCGTCGGTTGGGGCGCTGGCCACCAGGGCTGGGCTGCGGCTGCGGCTGACCGAAAAGGGACCCACCTGCGACTTGCAGCCGATTCCCAACTCCCAGTTGCACCGAACTCCCCGCCTCCCCCGCATGGTGCGCTCTGCGGTGCCGGTGTCGGCGCCCCGAACTGGAACATGCCGCCGGTGGAAGCGGCACCTCTTCACGAACTGCAGAGTCCGCACAGCATCGCATACACAGCGGAGCACGGTCCTGGAGCCGGTGCTCCGAAGATGTTGCTGCCTCCTGTGCGATCCGAAGAGACGCGATGAGGCTGTGCATAGTCGAAGCCTTTAGAGCCCTATTCTAGGCTTTTGTTAAAAGCTGTTGCTAACACCAGCTAATTATCTGCAAATAACAACTGATTACAATATCTCTTCTCGACTCTCCGGCTGTGGTGGCTTCCGTGCTACTTGGCCGCTCACAGGCTCACAACCCCCAGCGGCACAGGCCAGCACACCTGCACCGGAGGATTGGCCGAAAACACCGCCACCGCCACCTCCTTCCAAACTTCGCAAGCCGTGCTGCTTTGCTTTGTCTGTCTGCTCTCTGCAAAAAGCGCATGCTCAGAACTCCTGGCCTTTCAAGCCCTACAGCTGCTGTGCCTCTAGCCTCTAGCTGCTCAAGCTGAGTGTCCTCCAGATGCACCGAAGGCCCCAGCACCGCCAGCACCACTCCCGAAGATGTTGCCACCAGCTTGGCCGAAGAGGTTTCCGGCCCCCGCAGAGCTGGCGGCACCCTGGGCCGGGTTGAAGATCCCACCAGTCGTCCCGCCGAAAATGCCGCCTCCCTGAGAGCCGGCACTGGCGCCAAAGAGGCCTCCTGCTGAAACTGCCGGCTGAGGAGGCTGCGCCGGCTGCGCGGGTTGGGCTGGCTGGCCGAAGATATTGGCTCCTGCGCTCGGAGCTCCAAAAATACCTCCCGCACTGGCTGCCGGTGCACCAAACAGGCCAGGACTAGTCGATGCGCTGCCCGTCGGTGCTGTGAAGATGCCTAGGCCACTTCCTGAAGCGCTGCCGAAGATGCTGCCAGAACTCGTGCTCGTGGCGGGCTGGGCTGCACCGAAAATACCACCTGAACTTGCTGCCTGGACTGCACCGAAGATGCTGCCGGAACTTGGGCTGCCTGTCGGCGGAGTCGGGGTGGCACCGAACAGGCTTCCGGAATTTGGACTGCTTGCCGGTTGTGAGCCGAAGATGCTGCCAGAACTCGGGGTGGCAGTTGCTTGAAGTGCACCGAAAATGCTGCCGGAGCTTTGGCAGCCCGCTGGCTGCGTGGAAGCACTTGGCGGCGCTGCACCGAAAATGTTGCTGCTTGAAGTGTCGGCTGGGGCTCCGAAGATGCTGCCTGTACTGGGACTGCTTGCTGGCTGGGTAGCACCGAAGAGGCCACTTGTTGAACTTGAACTTCCAGGTTCAGAGCCGAAGATGCTGCTGCCAGAACTCGCAGCACCAAAGATATTACCAATGGAGCCTGGTGTAGCGCCAAAGATATTGGAGCTTGAACTTGGGGCACTCGCCGAGCTTTGCGACATGCTTGCAAGAGCATTTCCTGATGTTGCTTCGGCTCCGAATATACTCCCACCTGAACCGTGTCTTGACACTGACCGTCACTGACCCCAAGCTACAGAACACCCAAAAACGACTGTGCAACTACGCCGTCCCTACGTGTGGTCGGGCCTCCGCTGGAAGCGACGCCAGCGCTCGAACTTGCTGGCGGCACGTCCGCTGCGGGCGCTGCCCCGAACTGAAAGATGCTGGTGGCCGAAGTCGCGGCCGCCGAGGGTGCCGGAGGTGCCGAAGGTGCCGAAGGTGCCGAAGCTGCGCCAGAAGACGAACTGGCACCGCCGAAGATGTTGGTCGCTGGTGCCGTCGAAGCAGCGCTACCCGCGTTAGCACCGAACATGAAGATCCCACCGGAGCTCGGCAGCGCCGCCTCTGAAGCGGAGCCGCCGGCGCCTCCGAAAATGCTTCCAGAGCTGCTGGGGGCAGAATCGAAGATGCTGGCCGCAGGCTTCGCAAGCAGCCCCTCGGAAGCAGGTTTCGCAGCGCTGAAGAGACCTTCGGTCAGTGTGTGACATGCACAGTCTTCGAACGCGAAAAGGCTGTCTGACCTGATACAGGGTGGCCACCCAACTGGGCAATAATTACCCGGCCTGAAAGATCCGTTCCTGTGGAGCTGGAGCTCGGTGCACTATCGAAGAGGCCGGTTCCTGCGCAGGGTGACTATCGAGCACTTGAGGATAAACTGCCACAGGCGGAGATTACATCCTGCCTGCAAAAAGGCCTCCAGACGAAGCACCGCCTGTAGCACCAAAGATCCCTCCTGTAGAAGAAGCACCTCCAGTGGAAGTGGCATTGTGCACAAGCGATGGAACGATGTCGTAAGGAACAGATCAGATCTACCAACCGACCCTCGCATGCTTGCCTTCGTGCTTGGATTTCTCCTTGGCCTGCAGAAACCAACTGGTGCGCAACACGGGGCAATGGACCTCATCTGTGAACAGTCTTCACAAGGAATGGATACAGGACCTCATCGTCGTCGAAGGCGTTGTCTTTGAAGCATGCTCCATCCTGCGAGTTCCGAAGTAGCTCATTTTACTTGAAGTACGGCTGCGCACGAGACGCAAAGCGTTCCGGAATGTCAGAAAGGTTGTGGGCACAGAATCACACAACCTTACCTTCATTCAAGAAAAGCACGAGCGACGTATCAACATAAATATGTCGAGCAAGTGAATAAGTTCTGTCTTGGCATCTCTCCTCGTCCGCATTGTCATCCTCCTCTCCTCGGGTGGCCCACATCACCTGCTCACACACGGGCCGTGACTCATGGGGCGTCCATGTTTTCAGGATGTGAAAACATCACCGGCGCACAGTCAGCTCCGATGAGCTCCAGTCCAGGAGATGTTATACACCATGACGCGAAATGCTCCAATTCCTACCGTGCAGTATCGAGATTCCAGCAGCGCTTGCCTTGGGATCCAACTCATAGGTGCGGCACACCTCGAAACAGCCAGAAAGTCGAGCATGCACCCAACATTCACAGGCTCTCTGGTCAGAAACTGCAAAAGTCCCGGCCTTTGCATACAGGTGTGCCAGTGGGGTTCCATTTGCCTGACTCATGACCAAAAACTCGACTGCCCACCGTGCATTTGACGTAAATGGTCAATCTTGTCAGTGTCTGAGTGGCCTTGTATTTAGCAATGAAGTCCGGCACCTTCGACAAGAGCTTCCTGGCACAGACTCTGGACAAGCGAGCGCAAGCTGCAAAATGCTGCAACGGCCGGGCCGGGCTTGCGGATTTTTGCGGCGGTAGACTGCTTCGATGTTCACCTTCCACAAGGTCTCCGCATCCTTGACCTCGATGGCACCCTCCGCGTCCTCGCCGTCCTTGCCCTTCTTTGAGGCCGAAGCCTTTGAAGCCTTTGATTCGGCTTCCGAGCCCTGGGAATCTTCCTCGGAGTCCTCCCCGTCGGAATCCTTTGCACTCGGCCCGCGCGTAGAAGCCGAGGGCCTCGAGCCCTGCTGGCCGCTTTCTCGAAAGGGCTCCTTGCTGTGGCCTGGGCGCTGGGCGGCACCGGAAAGGCAACGAGGCTTTGGCAAGCTGGGCAGCAGTGAGGTAAGCCGCCCGCCGGACTTCGGCTTTGCGAACAGCGATCCTGGGCTGTGCGAGCGGTTGCCGAAGATTGCCGATCCAACCCCGAAGCTAACACATTCCACGAAGTTAAACCACAGCCCCGAACGTATTGTCAAAAATCCAGACTCTGAACCCTGTGCTAGGACTCCTCCGTCCTGAGTGAAGACTTTCGTCTCAAATCACAGCAAGCAGAAGAGGCACCGTGCAACATGCCGACAATGCCACACCCTCAAGGACCTCCGTGTTCTTGAGGATTCGTATCTAGGATAGAGCCTGCTCATAGTGCAGTCTAGGGTCGACCGATCGTGTCGGGCTTCGGTGGCGCAAGCAACCTGTCATTCGGTGCTGTGACAGCATCGGGCACGGGGCATGGGCAGCATTATCTGAGACAGGCAGCATCAGGACAAGTATCACGCAATACTCGCCTGATGCTGAGACAGAACACAAACGTTTCCGGATGATTCTCAGAGCCCCGAATTCAAGGGCTGGAAGCTCCCGACATCTACCACAGCCCTCAACCTCGTAAGAGCAAAAGCGTGCATAGCATGGCGGCTTCGAGTGCCACGAGCCAGACCGCTGGCGCTTTGCCGCAACCACTGGCCACTCCCTTGCAGGGCTACGACGCTGTGAACTCTCGAGCCCCCAGCAGGGATTCGCGCGATATCCCTCTTCGGCTCTTATCTCGTCAGATGCCCCTAGATTCTCCATAGATTTCCTAAGTTGCTAAGCTAGGCTTTAGATCTGACTAGCTGCCCATAACTTTGCGAGCGCTTGAAGCGAAGCGCTAGACGCCAGAGCGGGCCTCACCCGCTTTGCTCGGCCCTCCTGCCAAGGTCTCACCCCTTTCAGACAGCCAAGCGCCATGCAGCTGGAAAACCCAAAGAGAGCTGAGGCAGCGGCTCCACCTTCACCTGCCAAAGGTCAGAAGTGTTCTTAAGCTCGTGGGAATCCTTTCTGTCGGTGGCACAGAACTCGGGCAGGTACTGTGGAAGACGTCGGCGAGGCCCAGCGACTTCAACGGCCGCGCTAGCCTGGAATCCGTTGTTGCAGGCGAAGACAACTTCTCGAAAAGTCCACGGGTCCTTGAGACTTACGGCGTGGAATAGCTGCCAAACCCCAAGAGGTTATCATAAATGTGCTAGTTCACAGACAATGTAGGATCTAGAATCTAGACTCTCTGGACTCCACAGCCTTTCATGCTCCGGAGCATCGGGTAGTCGCTTGTCCCAACACACACGGTCGATTCCGACAGGACAAAGCATGCAAAACAATCATCATGCCAGAGGAACCAGGACTCACCCGGCAGAGGCGTCCATTGCTGCCTCAGACGGACCCGTTTTGAGGGGGCTCTTGAACGACTCCATGATGCGTAGGGCCGAATCTTCGGTGCTTCAACTTTGGACGAGGGTATCGAAATCACTGCTATTGACCAGGTCACAATCCTTTTCGGAATAAACACTCCTCCTGTCATTCCGGCACCAACTTGATGATGAGAAACAGTTGAATTGTCCAGGAATCCGTATGTTTTCCATGACGAGTTCCTCACAGCTGCTGCCAGCGTGGTACGCCGACCTGGACGGGAGCAAAATTCTTTACTCGCAACGTCTTCACTGGTTTAGCACTCCCGGAAATTAAAGGACTCGCCATCTCGTTCTGAAGCCTGCCATCTGTGATATTCCAATCCTGCATGAACGCATGCTAGACACCGACCTCCACACGAGCCGTCATCACATGGCACCAACAGGCCCAGCTGCAATTTGACTGTTGCTCGTAGACTGTTGTTCTCGTGGTTACAGACTTTTTGTTGTGGCTTTCTGCTTGCGCAGACCCCGTCCCAAAAGCACACTCGTGCCACACTTGTGCTGTGTTCCGTCTTTTGAATTTGACCGCCATGACGCTCATGAGCATAGTGAGGCCAGAGCCTGATTGCAGGAATGCTTGTTGCTTTTCGTTAAAGTAAGACATGTGGCAACACCGTAGTAGAGCAAGCAATGATTCGAGTTCTCTCTGAGCTCGAAACTGCGCTTTCAAGCGCGTCTTTTTTCCCTCGGTGCTGCCTTTTCTCGCTGTCCCTCCTCCTTTGAAGGAGTCCAGAGCATATGTACACATGACCGTCCTGCTCATGTTGAGCTAACGTCCATGGGCAGACGCTTGAGGTGCAACTACCTTGGCACAGTGCTGAGGCATGCCGAGGCTCGTCAAGTATCTGCATACCACATTACCTGAAAATGGTGACTGCTTGCAAGATCTTGGTCCAGATGTGACTGTCGATGACACGGCCTCTTGTCATCGCATGGGGGGCATGTGAACATGCTATGAGTTCTGAATCGGCCGAACAGCCTTTCAGAAGCACCCTCTGGAAGTGTGGAGGTGGCGAAGGCGCAGCAGAAATCCAATACTTCCAACGCCATCGCAATCGCAGACAGCATACCACCAATGCCACTCCAAAATTGCTCTGGCTGCTCTTACATCACACTTCGCGCGCACGCAAGCAAACAATCCACTAACTCTACTTCGCCATCACGACAAGCCCAACACGCACGACAATTACAGCAACATTGAGATTAGGTAAAACACGGCTGCGAGCAGTGCACTTCGTGGGAGTAGACTTTGAAACTACTACAACGATGCTGGGAAGATATCTGATACGTTGCTATGGCTGGTAACAACAGCAGCAATGACATCAGTGACTTGCAATCACAGCAACACGAATCCGGCAGAGTCTTAGGGATGCGGCTAAACCCACCCCCCAACTACATGCAGTGGAGGATCGTCGAATCACGCCATGGCAGACTTGGGTCGCCTCTTGCATGGCGAAAGAGCAACAGCAAAGTCACTTCGCTACCATGTCTCGAAGGACCTTTCCAAAACCTACTCAACCAACACCGCGTCTGCACATTGCCTTGCAGCTGGTGTAGATGCAGACCGCCGCATCTTACGGCAGTCACCATCCTCGCATATGTTTCTCGATCAACATCCAAGGCTTCAATCATGCAATTTTTGTACCAGGCGTAACCTCACCGTCTAACATGCAATGGCTAATCTGATATCCCTCCTCTTGGTTTTTGCCATTCTGAAAGTGCCCGCTAACCCTATGTGATTAAATTCAATCACCTTCCCAGAAATTCTATCCCCCGCCTTACTCATTTTCCACAAAGGTTTAAACCAATCTAGTTATCCTTAATCTCGTTGTTTTCCAGGTTGCCTTTGTGCCTATGTCTTCTTTCGTACTGTAGGACGAGCCATAACTGAAAATCCCCAAACCCACAATACACAAAGCATTTCCACAATCTACGCAATCATCCATCACACAATCCCAAAACCAAGCCACCCAAAGCTATCCCAAAACCCAAGAGCAGAACGATCCTGTACACAGAAGAGGCAACCCGGAGCTTCCTTGGACGTGCAACGCCCGGCCGTGGACCGCAGCGCCTTCCAAGAATTTCGGGAGCCAGGACTCTTCTCTGAGAAGGAAGGCAAGAGCTGAAGCCATGCGGGCCAAGAGAAACCATGAAGTGTGCAACTGCCAGCCTGCTCCATGTCCTCCACTGAGCCTCCCAAAGCAGCCCATGCCCGCCTTTGCCTTCTCTGCTCTCATCCAGCCAGTCACTGCAACACCACACACAACCTTGATCTCAAGCAGCAATACCGCAACAGCTAGAAACGGCTGCAAGCCTTTTGGGGCTTTGACTTCTGCTGAGAACAGAAGACCCGGCCTGGCAGCTAGCCGACTCACGCTGCAGTCGTGGCGCTGCAGCATGAGCTGCTGCGCACCTCTGCTTCCCCCATCGGTCCCGAAGTTCGAAACCCTAAAACCACCCTCTCTATTCCTCCGCTTTGACCCTTTGTCCCACTCGCTCTGTCCATCCGGGGCTGTGACGCAAGGACTGCTCCACCAGCTTCGCCTCCTGATGCCCCAGGCGCCTCAGCGGCACGGAATGACCGGTCGGCTTCACCGCAAGTTAGTCGCCGCCCACACCCCCCACAATTTGTAGCGTTTTTGACAGCCGCCTGTGACCATACCCACGTTTTGAAGGGGCAGGGATCGCGTTGGACTCATGCCACGATCCTGGGACCGCGAATGATGCATGCCTTTGCCCACTCTTCGAATATTTCGCATGGGTGTGTCCTGGCGCCACACAACCAGAAGCAAAGTGGCGCTTGAAGTGAATGAGTCTGCTAGGCTTAGTGTGATGCAGCAATGTTCTCGATGTGGCCCGCCTTTGCTTTACAGAAGCACCACCTCCCATCGAACCACACAAAGACAGAACGGTCCATGCAGCAAGAATAAGAGCATCGCAGCGATGACTGAGCAAAAGGATGCAAAAGGATACGCCAAGTTCGCTGCTCCTCAAGCCGAAGCCTTTCTAGAGCATGCCTCTCCTGTCCAGGCAACAGAACTCCTAGGCAACACCTGTGTTTCGAATCTGCACAACCGTCCCTGGCACGCGAGGTGCCTCCAGCAGTTCATCCTCCTGGCAAGAGGCTGGAAACGGCTTGCACCGCCATTCCCGTGATCAAAAACCGAGGGGCCGGCCATGACATGTTCAGCGGGGAATTGTTGTAAGATGCTGTAAGCATTGCTTTGATGTTTTCGTTGCCGGGCCTTCTCATCACTTGTACTGCAGCCCCCGTCACCTTGATCTCATTCCCTCGGCCGCCTTCGCCTCCAGTGCTCGATACTTGGAGGCGCACCACTCCGCCTGAGCCGAAACACTCAACGATCCTGCTTACTTCTTCTGGGCTGAAGCGCAACGCAAATCTTTCGCGAGGGTTCGTTGAACGATTCGACGATACAGATAGACCAGGGGCACGAACTGCAGAATACGGTAAAAGCCCCAAAAAAGCCTTTTGAGGCCTCGGGACCTGCGAGTCTCGACACTCCCCGCCCACTGCCTCCATGCGCTCGGCCTGCTTCTGCAGTTTCGCTGCCTTCGACGCACGCGGAAGTCGCCAAATCCACTAAACGGTGCCTACTAGGCAAGAGTGCAGCTACAGTCTGCTTGCACACTGAAATTCGCCTAATCCCCATGCTTGCTTACAGCTAGATGACAGCAGGAAGCCTCCGTGGTACAGTTGTGGGTTACCCTCCTCCTATACGTCGCTGATATGGACGAATCGACAAACCTCTGTACAACTTCTCCAGCCCTTTCCCTCGTAGCGCCTCGACGTATCGCCGGGCCAAGCCAAGCTTCCGTGCCTCCAAAGACAGTGAAGCAAACATTGAAGTGTCATGACTCGCTCGAACGCCCTCTGGGCTGGGATCAACTTGGAAAACGTCGAAAAGCAAGTTGTGCCTTGTGTCGCAGATTCAGCGACTCGGCTGAGTGTCGTGGAACGCCTGGCGGTGGTGATCGCAACCTCAGAGAGAGTAGGCCGTAGGCCAAGCCGAGCGAGATGCGAGGGCTCAATGTGCTTCTCAATCGCCACACGTAGAAAACGGAAACAGCTTCCGATCCGAGCCCAAACCAAATCAAGCTCTGGTGAGGGCTGAGGGCCCCCGACGGCGCAAGAAGCTCGGGCTTCTCTTGCTCCAGGACCTGCGGCCTTCGTGGTGAGCGGGGGTATCTTTGAACTGCGTTGGGGCTTCATGGGCTTCTCGGCTTTGGTGTCGATATCAAGGAAGTGGTCGACATTCTGGACAGCGCGCCCTTACTTAAAATGGAAGAGATTTAAACCCTTGAGGAGCTAATTCTGGCTTGTGGAGTTCGCGGCTACTGGTCTTGTTTGAGGCACGGCGGCTTGGGAACTTTCATGGTTTCATGGTGGTGTACTTCCATGTGCTCAGAGCTCCAGCCACCTGATAATGCGACTTCACCTGAGGTCCGTGCAAAGTCTCCTTCGGAAACGTTGACATGGAGAAAAAATTACGGATCAGCCTTGGCCACCGGGCTGCCACAGATCGCACGACAGGTAACGGCTGAAGCCCATGTCATCATGTCTCAAGTCGATCACTTCAAGCGATGCTTTACCCTATGCAAGTGCACCACAACATCAACGTACGAATGACGACTGACGCACCTTGCTAAGATTCAAGCGACGTCTCCGTTCCGAAACGTTATCTGAGGCCCTGTCTTGTCGCGGGAGGTCTCCTCAACCTGAAGCCACATTGGAGCGGGGATGGTCAACACCTTGCTGGCTTACTTCCAGACTAGTTGAATCATTTGAACATGCTATAAGATCACTCAACGGCACTTCTTCTATGACATTGCAGACAGAATCGTTCAAGACAGCACAACGGCGATCATGTAATTGGTCTGAAAGGAGAAGAGAAAATATTCTGCCCGTGCTGTGTCCGAATGGAACCATGAACTCTGCACCTCTCAAGCGGCCTCTACCACGTCGTCCACCGTGATGTTTTCTTCCTCGGCAGCCTCACCAATGTCATTAGAAACGAAACCAGCAGGTCAGCAATCCGAATGTGTTCACAAATTGTTGGTCGCGCCATGCGCTAAGCTGGTCCTCGCCTCGCGTCTTACGTGTCGTGTGCAGCATCCCGATCACGGACTCACGGAATCTAAGAGTCGTATGCTGCTAACCATGCCAGTTGAAATCGCATAAGTCACAGAAGCATTTCGCCAAAACTTGAAGCTCTCACGTCACCACCTTCGGAAACATGACTGCTGATGCCAAAAGCGCAGCAGCGGTGGCAAGAAAAAAACTTGCTGCTTGTCTGCACGCTGACTTACACAAGCACTACGGCACTATGAGGTGCAATCCACGAACATCGCGATGCCGATCATGGAGCCCAGACGCATGACAACAAAAGCCATGCCCTGAACGATTGCTGAGCATTCCCAAGTTCCCATTGGGTTCACGGCAGGTGCCACAACTGACATGCGAGGACAATGGCAGAATTTCTAGGAGCGATCACCTCCTGAGCATCACAATCGCATCCATCCTCCTGCTGCGACTGGCATCGGACGCGGCTTCCAAAATCAGCTTCTCAACCGCGCAGTCAGCACCGAAATCCGGAAACGCACTGACTTAGCCTGAAGGCAAACCGCAAACGTTTCTTCCGATGCTGTCCTTGCTCGCGGGCATGTTCGCCTCAGAGCACAGAAAGCAATGCTTCGAAGACAAATTGAGACACACAGCCCAACTGCACTCTTTGGCCGCTCACCTGTCTTTGTCTCAGCTGCCGCCGTCTGCGACGTTTCTCGCCCTGGAGCTGCAACACAATCAGAGCTGCTTGCACTACATTGCAACTTTCTACACGAAGCGTGCGATTAGTGTCTGCATGACTACAGTGAGTGCTGAGGCAAGCTAACGAAAATTCAGAAAGTGTGCCCCTACCCTCGGCAGGTATCAAGCCTGCAACGCTTTGCAGGCTTTGTGTGCTTCTTTCAGCAGCTCCTCTGTGCGAAGGGCGAAAGGCAAACTGTGTTCAACGTCTGCAAGTAGTCTCGTGCACGTAGACAAGAACATATGTATGTACTTTCCCATCAACTCCAAAATATTTGAGTCATGCAGAAAGCACCCTCTTGCGCCCGACTTTGTCTACGGAACTCCTGGAACTCTCGCTGGAAGCGATGGCCCATCTCCCGTCGCTCAGCAACAAATCTCCCAGCAGCCGCCTTTCACAGCAAGTTTGCACACGATCCAACTCTCAAAGCTTTGGTGCGACCTGTTTGCCTGCAGACACCACACACACACGCGCTCGCTCTCTCTCTCTCTCTCTCTCTCTCTCTCTCTCTCTCTCTCTCTCTCTCTCCTCACACATACACCACTCCTGAATTGCTGAAATGACCTTCGACACAACCTTGTGTTACACAACCAAACTCGCCGAGCCGTTGTTGCGAACGATAATGTGAGAGATTGTGCGAGGCTTCCGTCGCTCGCCCTACTCGTCTCTACACGTCTACCACAAGTTTGTACGGCAGTGTTTGAGGACTACCACCTACCTCTATGCCTCCTCACAATCTGCAAAGCTCCTCTCTGCACTAATGGGAGCGTGATCCTTTTTCATCAAAGCTCTGCTGTCAAGTCTGATCGCCAGACATCCTCGCTCGCCGACCTGCAGTCGACACTGGTGTCAGATCAGATGGTGCCAGGAGCTTGCAGCAGCTACCTGGTGCCTGGTACCTCTTGCCTCGAGGATGAAAGCAGGCCAGTTTAGGTCTTACACGAGACGCGCCTCTCCAGGAAATGTTGCTTCAGGGCATCCAGGGAGAAGTCCCGGCCGGTTTGGCAAAGCTTGCTCAGCTGCTGGTATGCCCGCACCAGCCTCAAACTGTGCGCATGAGAAAACCTCCAAGGACTTGAAGCCTCGAAGGCAGGGCCGAGCCAGTCAGCCAGTGGTCTCGTCGAGTGGCTTCTGGCATCTTGGACATAGACCTTGCGTCTCACCCTCCCAGATGCTCCTGCAAGATCTCCCACCATCGATGTTATTGGCATCGGTAGTGCTACTTCCCTGTGCCGACTCCCACTTGATCTCCTTTCGCGGCTCCTTTATCGACATGAGAACTTCTGCACAGCTTGGCTTTAGGCAAAGCCCCGTCCTGCTATGAGGATCCCGGGCACAGTCCAATTCGGCCCTCTGATACTCGGCTGCACAGCTCGGGTTCAGAAGCTTGGAACAGCTCGAGCCAACACTCTCCACCTCGGCCCGGACAACTCAAGAAGGCCATCTCCAATGCATCCAAAATAACACGCCTTGACTCCGAGCGGCGCCGAAGAGCACCTCCTCCGAAGGCCAAGGCAGCAGTGGGAACTCCGGCGCGCCAGGATTTATCGGGCACGCTATCCCGAAACACACCTGGGCATGCGCAGAGACAAACGGCCCTTTCCAGACTTTCAGGCAAGGTCGGGCAGGCCGCACAAGGCACAAGAAAGCCCATTCTACATGAAAGCCCGCAGAGGTCGAAGATCAAAGCACAAATTTTCGAACGCTCTCGCGCCAAACGGAATCTGCTTGCCCGAGCAAAGGCCTGCAAATGTTCTCGTTTCGAACCCAGGAAAGCTGTCTGTGCTCATGCAGTGCTGAATGTTGATTGCTGTGAATTGAACTTAAGCAGGTAACCAAGTGTTGACTGGTTGACAAGAAACTTTCGAACAGCGGAAAGGAGCAGGAGGAGTGCAGATTTGCAGTAGCAAGACAGGGCAACGCAGGGCAGCAACACATCCGACGTGCAAGAATCATCTTGAAACGAAAGGACCCACACCGCAGCCGTCTTAACATCGGCGGCGATGCAACCCGGTTCTTGATCAGTAAGAATGGACATCTTTCGGTGCTGAATCGCTCAAGCTCGCAAAACTGCAAAACTGACATGTAAACGCAAGCTATGTTCGACTGGTCACAGAGGCAAAGCTGCAGAAGTTGTCTTTTCCAGGTTTGCCGAAAAGCCGCCCATCGGTCCTTGGGAGGACCAAAACCAATTCTTTGCAACTCTGCGCCAGGATCCAATCGCACAACATTGCAGGTGCAAGCAAGAATCGCCGCATCCCGGAGAACGGTCAAACAATTTCCTCTCTTGTCACCTGCATACTTACTCTTGCGGCACAATCCGCCGAGGCCACAGACCCAGGCTTCTTGAAGGTTAACTCAGGTACCCTCCACCTAATCCTTCTCTGTGCAGACCGAAAGGTTGGAACCACCAGTCTTTTGGGCTCATTTCCCTTCATTTGACTTGCTTTTCGGGCCCGCGCTTCCTGTGTTTTTTGCCCTGTTTCCCCTCCCCCGCCTCTGCCCCAACCCTACCCTACTTGCCCCCCAGACAAGCATCCCCCTCCAATCACATCAAAAGCCCCCTTGTACGGACAGCAGGCTGTTACGCAGAGACAGGCAACGGAATGTACACGGTTGAGTATGCCCCTCGCCACGCCTGTAAGTACCTATCATACCGTTTGAATTGCGGGCGTACAGGATTACAGGCTTCACCCCTGCCCCCCTCACCTCCCCCACCTCTCTTCCACCCTTCGACTGCCCTTCGGTTGCTCTTTCACAGTACGGAAGCAAGTCGATGAGTCTGTCACAGGTCTGGTCTCCAGCAAGCCGAGGCGGTCGGCGTAGCGTTAAACGTTCTAATTAAGCAAAACTTCTTAGCATGTCCTAGGTCCTACGGCTCAAGGTGTGGATTGCATCAAGCCTGCCACGCAGTCAGCACCGATGGCAATCGGAAAACCAAGAAGAAGCGCGCCATGGAAGGCTGCTGCCATGGTCAGGCCGGCTCTGCCATCGGAGTCCTCTTGTGCCGTCGTTTCTGCAGTTTGGTAGAGTTCAATGAGATTCGCTTGAACTAGAATTAAAAACAACTCACCTAGTTTTATTTAACTTGGGTTCCAAACCCAATCAATCAGAGTGCGATGCACGTTCAAGCAGGTGAGCCTTGCTGAGCACACAGCAGACTCAAGAGCATTCATGAAGCGCGGATGCTCAACACATCCACAGGTGCAACAACCAGTGTGAAAAGCCTGGCCTGACCGTGCCAGGCTCTCTCGAGTTGCATCAACCTAACAGCCAGCCAGTACTCGTGTATCAACATCACACTTGCACAATCATGAAAATAGGAGACACGCTGCTGAAAACTTTGGAATAATCTCTTATCCGTTTCAATCAATCTCGAGTCTCATTTTTGAAAATCTCGAGCATCGTTTGCTCTTACACATCTGTACACATAACCGCTGAAACTGGCTGAGCATGACGCTCTTTGGCCCGTGCATCCGCAACGGCTGCCTGCGCTGCAAGGTGTGGTCGAAGAACTGAAGAAAACTACAACACTGTAACCCAATTCTTTTCCAAGTGTGTGCGGAACAGCATGACGTGCAGCTGCAGGCCTCAAAGTAGAGCTGTTGTTCGACACCTGGCTAGCAGGAAACCGATGCGACCAATAGGCCATGTGGTTCTCAACTTCTCCA